TATCTAGAATTATTAGCTAGAGTTTATATAACACTTTTATCCGGTCCTTTAACGGACTTCCCTCTTAGTTAGTATGCAATATAGCTTTCGAATTGTACTAGCGTTTGCGATTTACGATATACTTATATCGCACCTTTGCCTTTTATCGTATAGATTAAGCTATAGCTCTTAGAGGAATATACTACTATATAATATACACTAGTTTACGACATCTCTATACCTTAGCTTACGCCTTCTTCTCTCTGCGCTTTATATAGGTAAACAGAAAAGAGATAAGCAATAGGTATAAGGCAACGCCTTTAGATAAAATTATAAGAGTATCGATATACTAACGGTAACTAGAACAAATCTTTACGATACTATTATATAGCCTAGCACTCTTGCTATATCGAAACCTTATATATAATACGATATAATAGCGTAGGAAACGCTGCAATACTCTAACTCCGGCGCCGAGGTAAAGCTAAGAGTAGTAGTGCATTCTGAAAAGCTATTTATGGGTTGTTGCAGGGAAGTCGCTAAAAGACCACCGTAGTAACGGCCAAAAGGGCGGAAGTGACCGGACTGTTCTCATCTGTGGTATTATCTGGTATACATGCTATGGAGACCATCAATCCTATCTCCGTACCAACAACTCAAAGTTCCTCCATTTCTTTTTCGGAAAGAAGTGATGTGAGTACCATGAGTAGGGAGTCCCATCCCCCTTGATAGAACGTTGCCAAGGCATCGTGGATGTCGCGATCTCGACGCGCTCGGCATCTATCTTCATCTCGCCCCCATTATCGGCAACAATCCTTCCTCCCACCATGAGGGACGGCTCAGTGCTGACAACAGTGCTGAAATATTTGGCTACGCGCTCTCTATAATTTATCGCTTTCACAAGATGTGGCGCAGGCTCTATCTCGTGCTCGTGCTTGCGAGGCTGTACTTTGCGCTATCGCCGAGCTACATTCATCCGGACGAACACTTTCAAGGACCCGAGATCATCGCTGGTAAGCCCTAATATTTCCGATTACAAGCCGCGCGGTTACTGACACCTTTTCAGGCGAGGTATTTGGCTATCCCATCTACAAGACATGGGAGTTCACCTCCTCCCAGCCCATTCGAAGTATATTCCCCTTTTGGCTCATCTACGGCTGGCCTTTGACGGTCCTAAAATGGCTTTGGGAAGGTCTTGGAAATGGCCCAGTACCGCCATCGATCGCCTTCTACTGTCTTCGTGTCTTGATGTTCCTGCTCAGCTTCATACTCGGCGACTGGGCAATACATGAGCTGATTCAAAACGTGCACAATCGGCGTGTGGCCATCATCATGATTTCCTCGTCGTACGTGACTTGGACATATCAAACTCACACCTTTTCGAACAGCATTGAAACGCTGGTTGTGCTCTGGTCTTTGGTGCTGGTCAGCAAGCTCAAGGAAAACGTGCAACAAACTCTCCCAGCACCCTGCTGTGTGCTTGCTTTTCTGGGTGTACTGGGAATATTCAATCGCATTACGTTCCCTGCTTTCTTGGTGGTGCCTTTGACGCAGATGCTCCCTGGTTTGTACCGGCAGCCGCTGCGAATCCCGATTATGGTGGCGGCGGGACTCTTCACCCTCACGATTGCCATCACCATGGATACAGAATACTACACAGGAGTCAGACCGCACTTGAGGAGTCTGTACTCTACTTCTGTAATTACCCCCTGGAATAATCTGAGCTATAACGCGGACACAACCAATCTGGCCCAACATGGACTTCATCCATTCTGGCAGCACTATGTCGCGAATCTGCCGCAATTGATTGGCCCGGCATTTCCCTTCATCTTCCTATCCAGCAGGAAGAATAGCCTCTTCTGGTCCGCGGTAACAGGCATATCACTGCTCTCCTTCTTCCCTCATCAGGAAGCACGATTCTTGCTGCCGGCAGTGCCTCTCCTATTGTCCACCGTTGACGTGCCCAAGCGAGCCAGTCGTTTTTGGATTGGGATCTGGTTTCTATTCAATATACTGGCTGCGACTCTCTTTGGCATCTTCCATCAGGGTGGAGCTGTTCCGGTGCAAGGGTGGATCTCGAAGCAAGACGGCATCAGCCAGGCCTTCTGGTGGAAGACCTACAGTCCACCAAGGTGGCTACTTGATGGCAAAAACAACGATATGGAAACAACGGATCTGATGGGTATGCCTGGGCATGCTATGATTGGCCTGCTTAAGCATTCAGCAAGCTGTGTTGGCAGTGATAGCGACAAGACTCTGCTTATTGCTCCCAGCAGCGCCGCCTTTTTGGATGGCTACGCTGGGACGCATGCGACGCAGGCAGAAGATCTCACATTCACTCGATTGTGGCAGTACAGGAGGCATATAGGTCTTGATGACCTGGACTTTGGTGACGATGGGGTATGGTCCACCTTGCAGAGAGTAATAGGGCGGAGAGGACTGGTGGTCTGGCAGGTCGAGAATAAATGCTAATCGTATGATACCCATTTGTCTTTTGCTTAGATATTACTATTCCTTGACAATCTCCACGCTGATCACGCGCTCCATCGTTGATCACAACAGTGGATCCGGCCATATACGATCCAGGAACGACATAGCCATTGCGATTCGATGTTGTAGAGAGAATGATGCCTCTGACTTTCGTAGGTAGCTTCAGTCTTGCTTCATGTTCTCAAATATGGCCTCGTATAGAGTTTCTATATACGAGACATGATTCCCCCGCCAATGACTCCCCGCCTTCACTCTTTTATTCGCTCTCTCGAATTGACTCCTCCACTCCAAGGCAGCTACATCACATTACACGAAGATGGCCAATCAAGCACACATCAAGGAGTGGCAAGACCGCGCGGAGTCTCTCAAACCTCTCAACCTCAAGCAAATCGAAGGGCCGCTCGGCGAGCTCGACGCTCACCTCACTCTTCGCAGCTACATTGTGGGATACACGCTCACAGACGCCGACACAACGGTATGGAAGACGTTGCGAGCAAACCGCGTTGCAAACGCGTACATCAAACAAGGCCTCATGGTCAACCTGTCGCGGTGGTTCAGCTTCATTGAGGCGACCGCTCAACCTACCGTCGACCTGCCCACCCGATCCGGCAAAGAGGAGGGCAAGAAGGAGGGCGCCAGCTATGACATTGGCCTACCAGACACCGAGAAGGGTGTAGTGACGAGGTTCCCACCCGAGCCTTCCGGCTACCTCCACATCGGACATGCAAAGGCAGCGCTGCTGAACGACTACTTCGCTCACGAGAAGTACAAGGGCACTATGATCCTGCGGTTCGACGACACCAACCCCACGAATGAGAAGCAGGAGTTTCAGGACTCGATTCTGAAGGATTGCGAGCTGCTCGGCGTCAAGCCAGACCGTATTACCTACACCAGCGATTACTTTGAGGACTTGCACAAGAGAGCAGTGCAAATGATCAAAGACGGCAATGCATATGCCGATGACACTCTGCAAGAGAAGATGCAGCAAGAGCGCCTCAACAAAATCGAGAGTGTTCATCGCAACGACTCGATTGAGGACAATTTGGCACGCTTCGAGGAGATGAAGACAGGCAGTGAGGAGGGTAAGAGGTGGTCCATCCGCGCCAAGCTCGACATGAGCAGCAACAACGGCGCCATGCGAGACCCGGTCATCTACCGCTGCAATCCGTCCACTCATCACCGCACCGGTGACACCTGGAAGATTTATCCGACTTACGACTTTGCTTGCCCGATTGTGGATTCCGTAGAGGGTATTACCCATGCGCTGAGAACAACCGAGTACAACGATCGTGATGCCCAATACCAGTGGTTCCTCAAGACGCTCAACCTTCGCCACGTCTACAACTGGAACTTCTCACGCATGAACTTCATCAAGACGTTCCTCTCCAAGCGTAAGCTGACCAAGGTTGTCGCCGACGGCAAGGTTTGGGGATGGGACGATCCACGTATGCCAACAGTTCGTGGTATCCGTCGTCGTGGCATGACCATCCCAGCCCTGCGGGACTACATCCTTCAGACCGGACCCAGCAAGAACATCAACTTGATGGACTGGCACGCCTTCTGGGCTACCAACAAGAAGTTCATTGACCCAGTCGCCGCGCGCTACACTGCCGTCGATGCCACGAACAAGGTCACCTGCAAGGTGATTGGTGCACCCGAGGCAGCTCGTACTGATGACAAGCCTGTACATGCTAAGAATGCAGAGCTTGGTACCAAGAAGGTCGTGTACAGCAAGACGATCATTATGGATCAGGAGGACGCTCGTTCTTTCGCAGACGACGAGGAGATCACTCTCATGAACTGGGGTAACGCTATTGTGCGCAAGAAGACGTACTCACTCAACCCGCTCAACTTGGTCAAGTCTGAGGGTGACAAGATGGTTACGGAGCTGGAGCTGGAGCTTCACCTACAGGGTGACGTGAAGAAGACCGAGAAGAAGGTGACGTGGCTTTCCACGGACCAGGAGCTCGTCCCGGTCACGCTCTACAAATTCGACTATCTCATCAGCAAGGATAAACTCGAGGATGATGATGTGCTCGAGGAGGTGCTGAACAAGGTCACGGAGGTCAAGACTGAGGTGCTGGCTGACTGCAACGTCGCGGCGCTCAAGGAGGATGACATCATGCAATTCGATCGCAAGGGTTTCTACAGGATCGATAAGGCGTTCAAGCACGGCGAGAGCGCTATCGCATTCCAGATCCCGACTGGAAAGGGAGATAGTTAGAATCGTAAGAGCGTTAGCATAGGTCCTGCTGTTCGAGCGGCCGCTCGCTACTCGAAACAAATCAAAATGCGCCGAGAGGCTATGCCTTCGAATGTAGTTCGAAGTGTGATCTTCCCAATTCAGCAGCGAGTCTCTCTGCAGTTTGAAGTTTTCAATGTCGCATGATCCTTTCTGGTGACCGACCGGCGACCTTCTACGCTCGGAGGATTTTAACTATCGCATACTAGTGTCGAGCTTCAAGAGGCTGTGTTGTGGTCATTCAATTGACCGTTCAATTGGCCAACTAATATTTGATTCGCAGATGCTTTCCCGTGGCGCCAACACCACCACTCCCGATTGTGGGCGGCTACAGAAACAACATCCACTTCGCATTGGTGCTATTTTTGTCCCCGCAAACATCTCCACTCTTGCAACGGCGAGCAAAGATTTCGTTGTGCTGGCTCACCCGAACCATAGCAGCAGTCACGGTGCTATAGAAGACCGGCAACTATTCCTGTTGATGACAATGCGTCAAGGGGGCTGACTCTGTATGGCATAGCACCCTTCATGCAATGAACGTCTCTAAGCGCCGGCTTGATTAGCCAGATCAAAGGGCGGCTATCTCAAGAATACATCGCGATAGGATTGGCTTTGATCTGTGTTGCCCAGACGGCCTGTGGGCCTTGCAGCTAACTGTGAGGCGTGGGGGTGCTGTGCTGTGCCTCTTGCTTGCATATCCAAAAGGATCATGTCGGTCCAAATTGAGAGGGCTCCCAGCAGTCTGCATGCGATTCATTTGCCCTCGTTTTTTCTGCACCCTGCACGGAAATAATATCGATTATACTGGATCTCGAGGGTAGCAATTGTACACTGTGCAGCGGTCTCGATGTCGCGTAGCTCTTACATCAGTCGCAAGCCACTGCCTCCTATACCCTCGAACCGTGTCGAGTTTCTGGAGAACGAAAAGGAAGAGATAAGAAAACTACCAAAGCCATGGATTCCGATTACCCTCGGGCCAATATACATGGGCGTCCTTATCCTGGCGACTGCTGGCTTGATAGTAGTCATCCAATTGCTCCTCAGCATCAGCCAGCGCGATCAGGGCATCTTGTTCGCCAAGGATATCAACGCTTTACCGTTGTCTCGGTCGTTCGGCTACCTGTATCTGCCAACCATCATATCTGTTGTTTACAGCTTTCTGTGGACTTGGGTTGATCTGGATGTCAAGCGGCTGGAACCGTACTTTCAGCTTTCAAAACCTAGTGGAGCCGTAGCTACCACTTCCATCCTGCTGAGCTACCCTCTGGAGTTCTTGGCGGCTATACCTTTCAGTGCTTACAAGAATAAACACTGGTCGGTGTTGGCCGCTTCTGTCGCCATGATATCCGTCCTGTGGGGTTTAACTCCGACGCAAGCGGGTATCTTTGCCGTGAGGACGATCAGGGTCGAAGGAAACGTGCAAGGATCCTTTTCGAAGTCATACACGCCCATAAGTCAACAAGGAAACCTGACAGCTATCTATGCGCAGTCAGTCTWCAACATCGCTTGGCTGAACGAGACTCTGCCTGCTTACATGACAAAAGACTATGTCATCGCAGCCTTTGGACCATCCGATGCACTCATTCCCGACGCCACCAATATTACATACACGGGGAGCACAAAGATGTACAGCCTAGATGTTTCATGCGAGACCGCTGTATTGACTAACACGTCGGGATCGGTCAAATATAACACTTCGCAARGATGTAGCTTCTATGCTCCATCGTTTCGACCCGTTGGAGGAAACGATACATCGAAGCCTTTTGACACCATGTATGTTGGTTATCAGAACTTGAATGGAGTAGCAGACTATTATTTGTCGTACGACTGCGATGAAAGGTTCTTTCATAGCTTTTTCGTTCGCTGGTCAAAAGCCACTGTGGCAGCGATCGAATCTGGCGACATGGATGGCTCCCCAAGCCCATCGCAAGTAAGTGATGAATGACTGCTATCGCGCAAGTTGTTTGGTTCTTACATGGCTAATGAACGCAGGCAGCTGCCACGTCGCTATTTTGCACTCCTACGTACTACCAGCAAGAGGTGAATGCAACCATTAGTTGGCCATCCAAATCCGTGCTCCAGGTCAGATCTGATAGCGAGAAGCTTCCTTTACCCGATGACTTATTCAACGTCAGCGCTCTGGAGTGGACCATGAACTCTGGCGTGACGAAGTTGCCTACCAGAAGCACGTTCCCAAGGACCGGATTTCCGGACCAGAAGTCACAGCTGATGAACGTGCCTCTGAATCTAGCATATATCCCTAGAATGGCCCCTTTTGCAATCGCAACATATCAGCGCCCCCTCGAGGACTACTTAGATGCCGAGACTTTGCGGCTATCGTACCAATCAGCATACCGTTTGCTTTTCGCCCGACAGATGGTAGACATCTTGGCCAAGGGTATCAGTGGGGGCGATGATTCACCACTGGAGCGCTCATATACTACACAGGCCGTAGTGTTGATCCCCGAGTTCTCCTACGCGGCTACGTGCATATTGTCGTTCGTGCTCATACTTGCGGCTGGTCTTCTACTATACACTCCACGGAGAGCGAATGAACTAAGAAGTGACCCTGCAACGATCGGCGACCTTATGGATCTTACCATGGGTGAAAGAGGAACCCTCGAGCGTTTCATGGACCTGGATTATAAGAGCACTGCAGATGTTCAGAAGGCGTTAGAACGAACATCGTTTCGCCTTACCGAGACAAAGATACGAGTGCGATCCCCTGAACGTAGGGCGGAAGAACCACTGCTTTCTACAACCACGACTACTGGGTCAAGTGATCCACTGGAGTCTATACCAACGACGCCCAGCGATCGACCATCCCGAGGTGTGAGGCCAGCTGAAATGAAAATCGGGATAGGAATTGCATTCCTCGCGGTCCAAGTCGCAGCATTGACAACTTTCCTAGTGCTGTACCTCCTAGCCAAATACAACAACGGTTGGTCTTTCTTCCGCACATGTACGCTTGCATGACTGACGACTACAGGTTTGGCTCTCCCTTCAGGCTCGACTTTCGTGCGACAACTCGTTCAGAATTACATCCCGATAGCGCTGGCTACTTCGATAGAGCCATTCTGGCTCATCCTTAACCGACTTCTCTGTCTACWCCAGCCATTTGAGGAGCTTCGCAAAGGGAATGCCTCTGCCTCGAGATCGGTCGACCTAGACTATAGCTCTTTCCCACCACAGCTGTTGCTTGGAAGAGCTATACGCTCAAAGCACTTCATCCTAGGACTTGTGTCTCTCATGGTACTCTTAGCTAATGTATTGGCGGTCGCGCTGAGCGGTCTAATGTACGAAGGGACCAGAATAATTGCGACTGCAGCGGAGTTTCCGCTGCCCCACGCAGCACGGTTTGGCGTCTTGAATGGTACAGGCCTCCCCTTCAACACGGACGTGGCCAGCAATTGGCAGGGTGGCACAACATCAGATCCATTCTATCGCCAGATGTCGAACTTGACAGCGAATACCTCTTTGCCGGCCTGGTCTGACCAGCGTCACGCGTTCTTGCCGGCCAATCTAGTTTCGCCCGACGACAATACCACCTTTCGAATGACCACATGGTCGTTCGGTGCGGATTTGAATTGCCAAACTCTCGAATTGTCTGGACCGCAACATTACACTTTAGCATTCTCGGATGATGCGAATGATGCTAATCTGACTGTTATCTTGRGCCAAAATGGATCGAACGTCGCTTGTACGAACTTCGAAGGCAGTACGACATCATCAGCCCTGAGAGTCCTAGGTCCGCTGTCTGGCCATGTGGCACTGGAGATCAACTCGATGCTCTCTAGCAACAGGACTACAGAAGATGATTTGTTATGCAGACAACACATCGTCGCTGGATGGGTTCGTGCCGACTGGGAAGTCATGACTGGCAAAGGAGCTGGCAGATCTGAGGGCGGATACCCAAAGATGCGTACAACATCAAGGAATGAGACGATGCTCCTCTGCTCACCAAAAATCATGATTGGCACAGCCGAGCTTGTCGTAGACGGCAAAGGCAACGTTCAAGAGTCATCGTCTACGACAATGGAAACCGGTCAGATTGATGCATATTTCGCCAGCTCGCCATCAGATCTCATTGCCCAGGCCAATCAGTTCCTAGTGGACAGTGGAAGCACCTGGCACAACGACTCGAATCCATCGGACTTTGTGAATTATCTGATAGCAACAAGGACCAACGACTTCTCTCTGCTCGATGCCTCCGGACCTGTGCCAAAGCCTGAGAGTGCAGCAGAGCAATTTGCTGAAACTTACAATCAGCTTTTCGCGACTCTTGTTGGATCCAATGCTGATCTACTGTTCGAGAAGTCGTCGGATGACAGCAAAGTCTCGGGCGTCATCCTTCAGCCCGAAACTCGCATACTGTTCTCAGAATCAGCTTTCGCGGTGACCCAAGCGATTTTGGCATGTTACATCATTACGACCATATTCTTCTTTGCGCGACGGCCTTGGCGGATCCTTCCTCGACTTCCTTCTACCGTCGCATCGAATATTGCCTATTTCGCTGCAAGTCGCGCAATCGATGATCTTCATTCAGCGAGACATGTCTATCGAGACGCGACACCGAAGAACGTGAGATCATATTGGAAGTGGGGATATGGGGTGTTCAGAGGCAGAGATGGTTCTAGCCATCTCGGGATTGAGAGAGAACYTCTGGTCACAAAGTTGAGAGAGAGTACTGCAAAAGTCAAAGTCGCGCAGAAAAGTTGATAGTGCTGATCAAACGGGTTTCTTAACATGGTCATGCTCTCGTGTTGTTCTTGGTCCATACTGTGTATCTGCACCTTATAGGGCTGCCTCCGCCCATTCTGTAGTATAATAACGCTGGAGCATACTAGCGCAACGCGCAAAGCAGCGTGATCCGATTCGGCAAGCTAAAAGCTACGAGCATGATGAGCATGTCTAAGCAGGTGGGTGGCGTGTCGTTTGCTAACGACGCCGCCGGTGCACGCCGTCCCTCCAGATAGCTCGCGAGGAACCGCACAGTTATTGATATCACACAGTCCCCAATGACTGCTTCCAATGCATACAACGCTTCCTGGGCTATCGCATGTTACGCTGCCATCAGAGCAGCCACCAGATGTTGCGGTTCCGTTTGTTCCTGAGGCGGGACTTGTAGACGCGGTGTACCCCGTGGGCTTGACCACTGGGGGCACATCGCCACCAGCGATTCCAGTCTCCTCTACGGCTGGTGCGGAAGAGCTAGTTGCAGTGATGGTCGCCAAAGTTGTAGCAGTAACTACATCGTCAATACCCTYAACAACCGCTGGGAAGGTGATCTGAGCTGATGCAGTAGGCGATGCACTTGTATATGCTGCTGCTCCTGATTGACCCACGTTTCCATACGCGTGGCTCGCAGACTCTGTGGCGGATGGTGCTGCATATGCTGGCGCATCGTTCGAGCCATGGGCACCTTTACCAGCGCCCATGGCAGTGACTGCTGCGCATCCGCTGCCAGCCGTGGCGCTCCCAAGTGCAGTTTGCATTGCAGTTTCGACGTATTTCCCGGGATTTGGAAAGATGAAGTCCTCCATCTCGGAAGTGGCGCACTCTTCTCTCGGAAGATTTATGACAAACATGGTAGGCAGTGTGTCGTAGACGTCGTTGTTGTCCGAACCTCCAGTGATAGTTATGGGAGCACAATTCATGTACATCTCTCGGTTCCCAATCTACGTCATCATTAGCAGTGGTTCAAYTGATATTCATGGATGATGTTCACCTTATTGAACCAAGTCCAGGCAAGAGTATACTGGCCATTTGGCATCCCCTTGGGTACGGAATACTCGAACACGGCTGCATTTTCTCCCTTCGCGTCATCCGACAGATTTGAAGTCGCGTTCGCTGGACACCCCCCAATGATAGAATGGATCACTTTCCATTCGCTGTCCTTTGTGGGCTCCTTGTCTAGGGTAACAGAAACCTGGCATGAACCGCCACCATGTGTAGCGCCTCCCATGAATGCAAGCTGCTGCGGCACGCCGACCGGCATGGTGTTCATCTTGGTGATGTCGTAGACCCCTGGGCGCTGCTTGCAAGGAAAGTCTGAGCCATCATTCTCGAGAGGACCGTTCGTTAAGCTGTCCTGGCCATACGGGACCGGAGATCTGATGACCATATGTGCGTTGACTGAACCGACAAGCAGGCAACATGCCGTAGCTGCCCCGAGGAGATTTCTGGAAAACATCGTAATGCTGTGAATAAATGAATGGATCCAAGCTGTGGGATGCTGATGAATCGCTAGACCGGCTAGACGATGTTGTCGTCGGTATCGATGCTCGAATAGGGCTAAGGATACTATGTGAGCACTAGGTCGTATGATAGCGACAGTCTCGTGGCATCGCGTAGTTGGGAAACGCCATTGAAAGCATACCTCGTCAATCCGAAACGGCAAGGTCGTTGACAGAAGATGATCAGCGAAAGAGAGTGGAGCTCGTGGAAGTCTCGCAGAGACGTGAAAGTGAGTRGCAATGCACGATGCTCCTGGCACGGCAAGATGGTATGTACAACGACTTCACAGAAAACGATGATATCGAGAAAGGGCAGTGGGAAGTGCAGCATCCGCGAGTCTTAAAAGGCATCCTTGGCGAGATCTACATCTCGAAAACTCCCTACGATGAGCACGACAGCAAGGATCAGGGCGTACAAGGTGGGTCTACGCGCCATGCCTGCGTGGAGATCCGGCCGACGACCCCGTGGTGCCCTGGCATGCTTGAGTGTGGCAGCAGGAGGTTGCCTGCAGTGCCAACGACAGGTCCAGCGTGTGCTTGGTGCATTTTTGGTCCAGGAGGCGCTGTAGGCGTTTTCAAACACCGGTGGATCGTAGGCTACCACTGGACCTGAAGCCAAGCCTCCTCACGCGACAAGCTTGTGCTCCTCAACGGGAAGTCGGTGCGATTTTCGCGCCAAGTCTCGAAAGAGGTGCGGTAACGWCACTCGATTGGTGTTCTCCCGTTGCGTAAGGAGTCTGTGCTAGCGACAGAGTATGGAGCAGTGCGTTGTCGACATGGCGGTATCCTCGTTACAATTGGGCTCTTCCTTGTGCCACGACGTTTTGAAGAAAAGGTTCGAGGGCCAATCGACGAGCTGAAGTCGATGTCAGGAGAAGCGCTAAAATAAGGTTCCGAGTCCGAGAACCGACCTCGTCTGCACCTCTGATGCTTGAACGACTGACCGACTCTGCGGCCCTTGATTCGCGTGAACACGATGGTCCATGGCGTTTCATACACGACAGCGTTTCCTTAAAGATCGCCCCGCGTATGGCTTCTTCAGCGGCTTCATAACCCCGGACGAGGCTTTCGCCATGATTCTGTGGGGAACGACGGTGTGAACAGACGCGACGCGATCTGAGACACGAAAGGCCGCCACCAACCGGACCATCTTTCCCACCGCACCTCCTTTCTCAAAGATCTGAGGTTTTGCTGATGCTTCCAGAGGTGGCGTCCGTCTTTGGAACACAAACACATGGTGACAATGCCACGATGTCGTCAAGGCGCTCTGCGGCATTGCCTGCGTACGCCGTAATTTGTGCTTCGACCGCACATGCTTGTTTCGTTGTTGACACGGCGGAAGCAGCTCTGGATCCCCACTGGCCATACTAATGCGGAGGCTAATGGTTGCCGACAGTAGCACATTCTAGTCGTGTCGAGTCCATGGTTTGACAAGAAGCGTTCAACTGCTATGCATGTGCAGCCAACGTCTGTCAGTCCACGCGACGAAACTGCCTTGGCTTTGAAGGAGGTACGCAGAGGTAGAGGCTCCGATTTGGTCGTTTCCTCGAAACCTTCCTAGAGGCGAATGGAACATATTCCACCTGCGGGCCTGGTATCTGCGTTCCTTCGTCCCCAGGATCTCCTGGCCGAAAGATGCAACCGAGGAATCCAGTCTCCAGAGTCGTCCACAAAGTAGGTGGCATCCCTGAGCCACCCACACTGATCAGGAATGCTCAACATTTGGCCTCACTTGTTGGCTATCCGGACGTCAGTTCAATGCACTGGAACAGCGCTGAAACAGCAAGAAATGAGGAGGATTAAAAGTTCGAGTTTCATGGCTTCCGCTTTTGTTCTTTCTTCCACTGCGGCACAGTACAGCCAACTGGCGCATAGGYAATACGCGCCACTTTTTCGTGCGAGAGTACCAATTGTGCCTGCAGTAGTCAAGACTCGATGCTTTGCTCCATCGGATCAACGACATTAGCTCCGAGCATCACCCAACAACAGCACGTTGAACGATGCGTAGCTGTTTCACTAAAAAGACCAACTGCATACGCGCCCTGCTGTAAGCGCCCAGCCACGTGGGGTCAGTGAGYTTTTGTATTCTCATTGCCCTTCCTCTGTCCAAGACTGCAGCATATGACTGCACACATGTACATCTGTACCAATTTCGCAGAGTCAGCAGCACTGGAAATCGGGCAGTCGGGTGAAGATGGTCACAATGTACCTAGGTATGAAGTGACGCATGGGATAGCTCATCTTTGATTTCTACTCAAGTATATATCACGTCGCCAAAAGCCGCCACAAAACTTCTTCGTGGCATTCTACCAATATCTCTGTCTGCAACTCCCCGCACACGTCTATAGTCGTTGATCTGTACATCCAACGTCTCTCAATCAGCCGAGAGGTAAGGTACTGTCGGTGAAGTCCGTTGCAAGGTATCTACATGCTCTCAGAACTCGACGACGGTTCTTGGCGAAACACTGCCTCCCATCTACGGCAACTCGTTGWTCTCATTGTTCTGCTCGTCGAGTTGTCGGAGACGACGATGCGATGTAACTAGAGTATAGGTGGTCGTCATCGTGATGGACCATGGACCCCGCGAAGCAAAGCACCTCAGTTTGCGCCACAGACTCGCCTGGCGGCCACAAACCCTCCACTAGCTAAGGCAAGAACGTCGTCTGCTCCTCCTATCATAATTCAACCCGGAAGAGTCCARCCAGCACATCTCAATTATCATCTCGAACTCTGCTCGCATTGCACACCGTGCGGCCTGTTTTCTTGGTGATCTACTCAATTGGTGTCAAGCAGAGTCGCGTGGCCAACACTTTCACATTGACCGACACAAGCCACACCGGAATCTGGAGCTGAATTCACATCGCCGACGCGCACCACATCTCAGCCTGATCCTTTGCGACGACACCTCCTCCCGCCACCGTCCCRCCAACCGCCAACATGGAAGCTTCTAACGACCAAGATCAGTACATTGACAATGCTATGCGCGCGGTGCAGAATAAGAAGCAGATCCCGGAGATCGACTTCACACTGCACACGATGGAAGACGGCACGCAAGTGAGCACACAGGAGCGAGTATGCAAAGGTACATGGCAATGAAACTCTAGTATGAGGTGTTGCGGGATCCATCGGCTTCCACCTCACTGATTGACCGACCACACATGAGCATGGAAGCTGACTTGTCGCCTAGACGTGCAAGCGCCCTCATTCAACGTTCCCACCGAAGAGCAAATCGTATCGTCGACCGACCCATCCAAGCCCAATCTCCAGTTCCTCAAGCAACATCTCTACAGGGAAGGTCGCCTCACGGAAGATCAAGCACTATGGATCATCAACGGAGGCAACGCAGTTCTCCGCGCAGAGCCCAACTTGCTGGAAATGGATGCGCCAATAACGGTCTGTGGTGACATTCACGGACAATACTTCGACCTGATGAAGCTCTTCGAGGTTGGAGGAGACCCAGCCGAGACACGCTACCTGTTCCTGGGCGATTATGTGGATCGCGGCTACTTCTCCATTGAGTGTGTGCTGTACCTTTGGGCGCTGAAGATGTGGTATCCAAACACTCTGTGGCTGCTTCGTGGTAACCACGAGTGTCGTCATTTGACCGACTACTTCACCTTCAAGCTCGAGTGCAAGCACAAATACAGCGAAAAGGTGTATGAGGCGTGCATGGAGTCGTTTTGCTCACTCCCGCTAGCCGCCGTGATGAACAAGCAGTTTTTGTGCATTCACGGAGGTTTAAGCCCCGAGCTGCACACTTTGGAAGACATCAAGGCACTCGACAGATTCAGGGAGCCACCCACCCACGGCCTGATGTGCGACATTCTCTGGGCTGATCCGCTGGAAGAATTCGGCCAAGAGAAGACGCAGGAGTACTTCATCCACAACCACGTACGAGGATGCTCGTATTTCTTCAGCTACCCCGCTGCATGCGCTTTCTTGGAGAAGAACAATCTTCTCTCCATCATCAGAGCACACGAAGCGCAGGATGCTGGCTACAGAATGTACAGGAAAACAAGGACGACAGGATTTCCCTCAGTGATGACCATCTTCTCGGCACCCAACTATCTGGATGTCTACAACAACAAGGCTGCGGTGTTGAAGTATGAAAACAACGTCATGAACATTCGGCAATTCAACTGCACTCCTCATCCTTACTGGCTGCCCAACTTCATGGACGTCTTCACTTGGTCGCTTCCATTCGTTGGCGAGAAGATTACGGATATGCTTATTGCGATTCTGAACACATGCAGCAAGGAAGAACTCGAGGATGAGACGCCGCTGTCTTCCGGACCTGCATCTCCAGCCCTCACCAACACATCATTGGCCAACATGGACCCGGAGAGCACAGAATACAAGCGTCGTGCTATCAAGAACAAGATCCTCGCCATTGGCAGACTGTCACGTGTCTTCCAAGTGCTACGTGAAGAGTCGGAGCGGGTCACTGAGCTGAAAACTGCCTCTGGCGGTAGATTGCCTGCAGGAACACTCATGCTAGGCGCGGAAGGCATCAAGCAAGCCATCAGCTCTTTCGAGGACGCTCGCAAGGTTGATCTGCAGAACGAGCGTTTGCCGCCCAGTCACGAGGAGGTCCGACGTAGCGCAGAGCATTCGAGAGATGAAGCGTTGAAGCGGGCTTCGAGAGAAGCGGAGAACGATACGCAACTTGCTGGAGTGGCCAGAAGAATCAGCATGTCTGCAGGTTCGAAGAACACGCGCAAGAGCTAGATGCGGCGAGTGGGAAAGAAGTGGCATGGGATGTTGCGACCAGCGACGCATTGTAGTCAAGAGCACTCCATGTCGATGAGGAGACTGTGGTCGGGGCGGAGACCGAGACGAGGCGACGACCCAATATGAGCGCTGGAGGCCTTTCGGTATTACACGGGGAAGGAGAACGAAACCAGACCAAGGCGAGATTCAGTGGTAGCTCTCCTTCTCCTGTCAGGGGCAGTCGCGCAATGATGGACAGACACAGCTACACGAGAAGAATCATGACCAAAACTCTCCACAGCGACATCTTATTCTCTTCTCAAGTTTYCACATCATCGATCGTCTTGCAAAACGCCCCTCATCGTTTCAAATTGCAAGTGATGGGACGAGGGTCGGGGCATTGAGGCTTGTCGGCTCTCCTTGTAGTGAAATTGAGAACACATACATGGAGCCACCATCACCAGAGCAAGCAGTGTTGCGGAGAGACAAAAGTTTCGTCGAGTGATGGCTTCTTAATCGTGCCATGGGAGTAGAATGGATGGAAGACGTCTTCCTTTGCAACAGGTAGTAGGGCGGCAGCATTCAGTTTCACTGGCCCTGGGTGCAAATACATGGAACTGTCTTCATAAGATGGATATCATATCGCTGTTCTTCACGGTACTTCAACAATCGCTACTTACTCAAACAAAATCAGAATAACTTCTGTACAAGCGCTAGCGGACTGATGAGAGCGCGCTCACCGCGCATCACCTTGAATTCATGCAGCACATTTATAGAAGATCGCGCTGGATGAACTGTTCCCTCAACGTCTTGCCCAAGCTTGCCGGGCTCCTCTCAACAACAACACCAGCAGCCTCCAATGCCTTGATTTTGCTGTTGGCGTCACCCTTGCCTCCTGAGACAATGGCACCGGCGTGACCCATTCTCCGACCTGGGGGCGCAGAGATACCAGCAATGAAGCTGACCACTGGCTTACCCTTACCGTCCTTGCCGCCGTTGTTGTATTGCTTGAGGAAGTCTGCGGCCTCCTCTTCTGCTGAGCCACCGATCTCTCCAATCATGATGATACCATCAGTCTCGCCATCCGCAAGGAAGACGCGAAGGCAGTCAATGAAGTTGGTGCCAGAGAAGGGGTCACCACCAATACCAATGACGAGTGACTGGCCAAGGCCAGTTTGTGTGGTCTGGTTTACGGCTTCGTATGTGAGGGTACCGGAGCGAGAGACAATGCCGATCCGGCCACGCTTGTGGATGAAACCTGGCATGATGCCAATTTTGCATTGCCCCTAGAAAAATCGCGCTGTCAGCTTTGATCGAGCGAGATCTTGTGCAGTGTGTCGTGGTAGCAAAATGCATAATGTACAAAAGTTTTTCAGAGAATAACGTTATAATCAATCCCGCCATAGGCAGGTCAGACTCTTCCTATCATGATTGTTTTTTGGAGTCTCATCACAAAAACGAGGGCTTCGAGGTATTGGGGAGCATGGTGGGATATATCTTACAGGAGCGATGATTCCAGGGCAGTTGGGTCCGACCAGTCTGGTCTTGTCCTGCGTCTTGAGCATGTCCGTGATGCGAACCATGTCATGCTGCGGGATGCCCTCTGTGATGCAGACGACAAGTGGYATCTCAGCCTTCAAAGCCTCCTCGATACCAGCGGCAGCGAGCGGCGGTGGGACGAAGATGGCAGAGGCATCGGCGCCAGTCGCTTTCCTAGCTTCCTCGACGTTTGCAAACACTGGCCTTCCCAGATGCTCTGTGCCAGCTTTCTTTGGGTTGGTACCACCCACGACGTTGGTACCGTACTCAATGGCCTGCGTCGCGTGGAAAGTCCCCTGCTTGCCAGTGAAGCCCTGGAACAAGACCTTGGTCTCCTTTGTAAGCCTGAGGTTGAGGCCAGTCTTTTCGTAGCCTGTGGGGTTGCCAGCGGCCTCCTTTGGGGAGATGGTGGCATACGGTGCTGCCGCAGAGCGGGTGATGCCCTGTGGAGCGCTGCGCACCGCGCGCGTAAGACCCGCGCGTACGGACTGCATTGTGAAGTGAGGTTGATAAGGACGGGAGTGTAGAGCTTGCCCGGGTGAAGAAAGATGGAAGCTCTTGTCGGCTGAAGCCGGAGGAAAACCGCGCCGCCGCTAACGACATGACAGCCGTCGGAAGCACATGCAAAAAGTTAAGGTCGCAACTGCAATTGTGTTCCCGCCGCTGCTCTTCAATCTTACTCGGACGCTGAGCACGCTGGACTTGCCTTTGATACAATCACGATGGCGACCATGACGGAAAACTACCACGAGGCCAAGAAGAAGCGCCTGCCCGCTTCGAAAATCGCGAAACTAGCGCCCGAGAATGAACGATACATGCGAGCCTGCGCCGACGTAGCGAATTGGCTGGTGGAAGACTTCGAGAGTACGCAGCAGAGCGGTGCGCCCAAGAAGGATATCAATTTGAACTCCTTGCGAAGTCAAATGGCGAAGAAGCATTACCTCTCGCGGCAGCCACCGCTCACAGACATTATTGCTGCTGTACCAGAGCAATATAAGAAGTACATCCTGCCAAAGCTGATTGCAAAGCCGATCAGAAGCGCCAGTGGTATTGCAGTGGTGGCTGTCATGTGTAAACCTCATCGATGTCCTCATATCGCATACACGGGCAACATATGTGTGTATTGCCCTGGAGGTCCCGATTCAGATTTCGAGTACAGCACACAGTCATACACAGGATATGAGCCGACCAGCATGCGAGCCATCAGGGCCCGATACGATCCATTCGAGCAAGCTCGAGGAAGAGTAGACCAGATTCGCAATCTAGGTCACAGCGTAGACAAGGTCGAGTACATCATCATGGGTGGGACTTTCATGTCACTTTCTCCAAAATACCGCGAAGAGTTCATTTCTCAACTACACAACGCCCTGTCGGGCTATCAAACCAATGATGTGGATGAAGCCGTCATGGCTGGAGAGCAAAGCACAACCAAGTGTGTTGGCATCACAATCGAGACCAGACCCGACTACTGTCTACCACCACATCTAACAGACATGCTCCGCTATGGCTGCACCCGGCTTGAGATTGGCGTGCAATCTCTCTATGAGGATGTAGCTCGAGATACCAACCGTGGCCACACCGTCAAAGCTGTTTGCGAGACCTTTTGCCAAGCTAAAGACGCTGGCTTCAAAGTTGTCTCACATATGATGCCCGATCTTCCCAATGTCGGCCTTGAGCGAGATCTCTTCCAATTTCAAGAATACTTTTCCAATCCAGCATTTCGAACAGACGGCTTGAAGATCTATCCCACTCTCGTCATCCGTGGAACCGGCCTGTACGAGCTTTGGCGAACAGGCAGGTACAAGAACTACACGCCCAACGTTCTCATCGATATTGTTGCACGAATCCTCGCCCTCATCCCTCCTTGGACGAGAATCTATCGCGTACAACGAGATATTCCCATGCCACTGGTCACTTCTGGTGTCGAGAATGGTAACCTGCGTGAGCTGGCACTTGCCCGTATGAAAGATTTTGGCACGACATGTCGAGATGTGCGCACGCGAGAGGTTGGTGTCAACGAAGTGAAGCACAAAATCAGACCGAATCAGGTGGAGCTGGTCCGAAGAGACTACGTTGCCAATGGCGGCTGGGAGACCTTTTTGGCGTACGAGGATCCAAAGCAGGACATCCTCATTGCGTTGCTTAGGTTGCGAAAGTGTAGCGAGAAGTACACGTATCGCGAGGAATTGACAGGACAGCCGTCGAGCTTGGTCCGCGAGCTACATGTCTACGGCTCTGCCGTCCCCATCCACGAACGTGTAAAGGGCAAATCACAACATCAGGGCTACGGTACGCTGTTGATGGAGGAAGCAGCGAGGATAGCGAGGGATGAGCATGGGTCGAAAAAGATATCGGTCATTTCTGGCGTAGGAGTGCGAGGCTATTACAAGCGATKGGGCTATTGGCTTGATGGACCATATATGAGCAAGTGGCTAGACACGGACGATGGCGAAAGCGACGAGGATTGAGATACGAGCAATGATCAAAATATCACACGAGGACCAAAACTCGGACGTCTCACGGCCAGTGGCATCTCCGCACACATCTAAATGTGTAAGTTGGCAATTGTCCTTGCGGCTGTTGACGAACATTGTAATTTCAATAGAGACATGGGCGTGACCGGTGAGCAAACTCCATCAACATTGTTTCCGCGAGACTGTAGAGGCTTAGCTACCTAGTGGAGAGCACCCACCCCACAGGATTGTGTATAAGTGTCGATTCGAGAAGAGCGAGCGCAGGTCATCGCTTTACTCTTCGAGAGATTGTCTCCTACAGGGCTGAACTACCACCTGTGATGATCTGCTTAAACGGCGGACAGAGAGCTCAACGTCACCGTTACAATTGATGCAATTGGATTGCATCAGTGAAGACAACGCCCACCTCCAACTATGCTCAGAGCGTCTAGCTGTCGGATGATGCCCAACAATCTCGAGAAGCAGGAGTCAGGAGCACTAGCTACCAGTCAATGCTGCTGAGCTCCTCCAACAAGCCTCGTAGTCTCAACGAGCTGCTCCCGACCGATGAATGCCATTCGTCTATGGCTTCAATGGGTTGTTGAAGGGCTAGTGGTTCGTACCTCACTTTATTGGGGTAACACAYCCTGCAGACGCTTTGCTGGAGGGAGATTCTTCCCCCATTTCTGGCGAGATAGATACATGCGCACCTACCAGAAAGACTGTCGTGGGGTAGTGCTATCTCACCCTCTTTTCGCATTCTTGAACAGGTCCAGCAACGAATTCTGTTGTGGGGCCGCTTGTGCCGGCGGCGGGACTCTTATCGATGTGTCAAATTCCGCCGGTGTTACGAATTGAGTACTCTGGCGATATGCTTCAGAGTCCGGCGGAGCATTAGCTGGAAGATTGGCCAAATGATGAGGTAGCAGTGGCTGTTGTGTCTGAGCGGCTGGCTGCATTTGCGGCTTTGCGAAAAGGGTTGCTAGATCGATCTGCTGCCCAGCAAGTTGTTGACGATGCACAGTAGGCTCAGCGGGAAGCCTTGTCTGTGCATATCGGCCATTCGTTGCGTACGAAGATTCGTTCGTCTCGATGGTCTGGCTCGTCCCATAAGAAGTGTCGTGTTCACCCATCATGCCACTGAGCTCTGCATTTTGCGCGTCCTGCTCTGCCCTCATTGCACATTCCATGATGGTTTTCGAAATCACCGTTCTAGTATCCGGTGAGGTGTCACCGTCGGAATAGATCCATAGTCCGTATATCAATGGGGTATCGTCCTCGCCTTGGATCTGTACAATCACGTACTCCTCCGTAATCTCGATGTTCTCCGTGCTGATCAGGTCCAAGTGAAAGTTCTCCGGCCCTTTACGATTCAGGATGATCACTCTGTATCGCGGAAAAGGTTTGCCGATGAGCTGGCAAATGAAAAGTGTGCCTTGCGTTTCGCTCTTCTCCCACTGCTGCGTCTCAGGCGAGCATGTGTACAGGCCGGCGAAGGGTGCAATCGCAATGATGCCGGTGATATCGGGACACCAGCGTCGTACCACAAGCAAATTCAACTCCTCATTGGAGCGGACGGGCGGTGGGGAGACGAGTGCCGTTGGCTGATTGTCCGTGTTGTTTGCCGTGTCGGTGTCATAATCGGATTGGGCAGCTTGGGGTTGCAAGTGCGTGGGCCGCGAGGAGTTCCGTTTGGGCGGCATGCTGATGTTGATGGTGTGGTGTCGATCGATGCTCTTTCATGTGAAGTTGATCAGTGTCCATGGATATCTTCAACCCCGATGTTGATGTGAGGTCAATAATGGTCGGGTGTTGATCAGCCAGCCACGCGACACAAAGACACGAGATTCAGGCGCGATCAAGCTTCCCGCCGACGTCAGCGGAGCACAAGCCAGAGAGGCAAGGCAAGGCGCAGGACGGGAAATATGCACTTCTCCCAACAGCACAAATCGAAGCTCTCTCTGAGCTCGAATTCGCAGTCAACAATGCCCATGTACGCTACACGCACATGAGGCAATGAAAAGTGTGAGAAATGGCCTCACGATCACGACCCACGAGTGTGTCAACCTCAAGCAGCTTGATGCAAGACGTCCCAGGATCGTTCCCACCTCCGAGCAGGACACCGACCATCGCCAACTCCCAGAGCCATAGCGAGGACGAGCAGGAGGAACAGCCCGAAGCGTACCAAAGTCTGGCCCAAGTCGTCTACTCGCGACGGAAGGAATACGTACGACCTAGAAATGTGAGGATCAAGATTGGTACTTGGAATGTTGCTTCGTTCAAAGGCACCGAAAAGGACGTGGGAGGATGGTTTGTGGGAGGCAAAGGCATTGCAGACGGACTCACGGGCCTGAATCTGGACGATCAGCCGCGAACAGAAAGTGTGGAAGATGTGGCCGACCAAGAAGCCCGCTATGCTCGCAAGCAGGAAACGCTTCCGTTGGGCGATACTGGAGTCCTGCCAGGCGACACTGACGTGGGGCTTTATGTCTTGTCACTGCAGGAAGTCGTCGACATATCGTCTGCGGCCGAAGCGTTGCGTCCGTATACGGACCCAGCCACAGCCAACAAATGGAAAGACGCCATGACCGCGGCATTACCAAAGGGTTACACGCTAGTCGCAGAGCAGCAACTCATTGGACTCCTCCTTTTGATATACGCTGCTCCTGATGTTTCAAAAGACATTCAACAATCGTCTGTCAGCACCACCAGCATTGGCACTGGGTTACTCGGTTACATGGGAAATAAAGGAGTAAGTACAGTGAAGTGCAAAAGGTATCCCACGCAGAGATTGAAAGACATCTCCGACGACGAGACCTCTACGCATCTGTGAGCTGCTTGGAGACTAGAGATCTTTTTTTGCCCGCCCCGAACGCCTGAGATATCGCTGACCCTCTTGCCTTTTCCTTGTAGGCTGTGACGGCACGAATAGTGCTCGGAGAGACGACACGATTGGTCTTCATCAACAGTCATCTCGCAGCTGGCGCAGACAAGACATCGCTGGAGCGACGAAACTGGGACGCGGCCCAAATCCTAAGCCGTACTCGCTTCGAGCCTATTCAGGATGCGATGGATCTTTCACAGACGACTGGGGAACAGATCGGAGACGAAGATTTTGCGTTTTGGTGTGGAGATCTCAACTACCGACTCGAAGGCATTCCTGGCGATGACGTTCGCCGTCTACTGATGCTTCACACTCGCAACGAGTATGACCTCAGCAAGCAAGCTGCACGCAAAGTCGAGCGTGAGATTCAGGAAGCCGCTGAATCTGCAAAAGAACGCATGCCAGAAGATAGCTCTACACAATCCGTCTCTACCAATCGCTCCGCTCGTTCCAGCGTAGACGCTCGTCGAAGTATAGATAGCAACAGAACGACAACAACGCTCGGCGAGGAGATCATGCACAGCGAGGATCCTGCCGCATTACAGACCACACTATCATCTCTCCTTCCACACGACGAGCTTCTGCAGCAGATAAAATCTCGCAAAGCGTTTCATGATGGATGGCGCGAGGGTCCAATCACCTTCCTGCCCACCTACAAATACGACCCCGGTAGTGTGGGAGTGTTTGATTCAAGCGAGAAGAAGCGTGCACCTTCATGGTGTGACCGTATTCTATACCGTACCAGAAGGGACAAGTTGGCGCATGAAGCTAAGATTCACGAGGAGATCAAATCCCGTAAGATGGACGACGAAATGCGTGCCAGCGGGATTGATGAAGCGGCAAACGATGATGAGTTGCTCTACGATTACGACCCGGAGACGGATGGCGCCGACGCTCTCGACGAATATGATGAGTACGACGGCGTTGAAGAAGGTGTTGTAATAACCAAAGAAGGGTTCGACGATGAGATTCACTTGGAGTATTACACCGCGCATCAGCGAGTTCTCTCTAGCGATCACAAACCGCTTGTCGCGAGTTTCATGCTGAAATTCGATGCGGTAGAACCCGAGTTGAAGGCCAAAATTCATGCTGAAGCTGCCCGGGAACTTGACAAGACTGAGAATGAGAGTCGACCCGACGTTACTGTCGTGGTTGACAAGCACAATTCCACACCGGCTTCGGCAGACGATGGCCCTGCAGACAAATTTGAGGGAGTATCTTTTGGTGACATAAGATGGGCGCAGAGCAAGCATCGATCGCTGACGGTGGCCAATACCAGCCGAGTTCCAGCCAGCTTCTCGTTCATCGAGCGACCCGTGGATGCTGGACAGGCAGCAGGCATAGCGCCCAAATGGCTCAGCATGCTGATCAACGGAAGACCAATACCCAGCACATCCACATCGTCCGAATTGATTACGCTGGAGCCGGGTGAGACTTGTGCGGTTGATCTCGAGCTAAGAATCATGAGCATGGACGACGTGCGATCGCTGAACGATAACGATCGAACGTTGGATGAGATTTTAGTGTTGCGTGTTGAGAATGGTGGCGATCAATTCATTGGGCTTAGGGGAACGTGGCTGGGAAGCAGTCTTTCGAGATCTGTAGCGAAGCTGGTGCGCATACCAGAAGGTGGCGTACGGAAACTGCAACGCCAAAAGCCGTCTGATAAGGGCAAAGCTGTCAAGGCAGCGGTCAGTGCCGCAAATGCCTTTTCGAACATGCTTCCCGGTGGGGAGTCATCTTCGAAATCGGAAAATATGGCGGGAGCACAGAAGCCTTCATCAAGCGATGACGATGAACCTGTTCGTTTCTCCGCCCCTAAAATGTTGTTCCGGCTGACGGAATCGATCGAAGAGCTGGGCGTCCGCGTTGTGGCCGAGTGGGATATGACAAACTCTGGCAACCGGGCCATGGACTCTGGCGATTCATTGGCTCCTGCACGCACCGCGCCTTGGGAAGAGCATGTCGCTTGGCCGTTCGCGGAAGAGTGTTGGACGGAGCGCACCACTTCGCATTGGCTCACAGCTATGAGCGATGCATGTGATGCACTTGACGATGATAAGCCTCTGGAACCTAGTCTGCCTGAAGACCTCCCACGGATCCAAAGGTTATACGTGCTTTCTAGCCTGCTCATCCTGTTCCTCAAAAGCATGCCCGACGGGATCGTCCCGGTAGAATTGTGGTCTCAGGTTGAGAGGTATCTTCAAGAAAAGGAGAAAGCAAAGGTCAAACCGCCCAATGAAGACCAACGGATCGCAATCCAAGAGATACTCTCCCAAAGCCCTAGTCACAGCATATCCTTCGTCCTTATCACGACCATGCTAGAGCGCATGATACTAGAGCGCATGATACTAGAGCGGGCCAGCACGAATCGCAACAAAGAAGATATGACTCTCAATCCAAAGAAGCCGGGGGGTGCATTTCAGAAGATTGCGACTTTTGGGAGGGTGCCGCAAGCGCCTCAGAGAGAACAAGCCGGCCCTGCGCTGGCCAAAGTTTTTGCGGAGCCGTTAATTCGGGTAGATGTTGTCGGCGGTGATAGAGGCCGAAACGCACAGCAGCGGAGGAAGGCTGACATGATTGAATTATTCCTTCGACGGGACGATGTCTCTACATGAAAGAGCGATGGTCGACGATATACCCTTCTAATCGATGTGTGCTCAACCTTGACTAATGACCGAATAAATTAAATACTGCCCGCTCTTCTCGTAGTTGAATAACGACCACGCTCGCCGATAGGGCGATGTGACTCCCAAAGCAATCAATGTTGCGGAGAGCTATACACTTTGTCACGATATCTTCCAAATTGCTTTGTCGTTCTCGTGGAGAAGACAAAGTCTTTGCTTACAGTAACATGTAGGGCGACAACCTCCAGCAGAGCTCGAGGATTCGGATTCGGTCAGTAAAACAATCAATTAATACTAGCACACCAATGTACTGCAAGAACGTCTTGTAGTGACCATCTTCAGCGGTGCCTACTACCCCAACCCTAACCCTTACAAAGACAAAGATCGCCACAGTCATGTGACCATGCGTCTCATCCGCTTTGTCTGCAATTCCTACGCGAACGCGTTCTCCCCACCTCACCCGCCACGCGACTTCCTCACTTTCACATGCTCGCCGCCTATGTCCAGTGTGCACCCTTCGCGATGATGAACGTGCAATCACTTGTGCATCGACACGCGCCAGACTCAGCAATACCACCACAAACATATTCATTCTAAGATATGCCTTTACCATTCTTGGAGATATGTACTTTACTGGAACGGCTCGAAGCAATCGAGCTTCACCAACCTCCATTGCTCATCAGTGTCAGGGCTGTCAAGACCAAAGCTGTTGTCGAAAGCTGGTTCAAGTCTCATCGCCGGCTTATCGACGAGCTTGACGCCGCTGGAGGGACTGCATTTCTCTCAACATTGCTCCCCGAACAAAGAACGGATCGTGTGTACAATCTCCAGGCGACCTCGCTATGCCGGACGCTAGGTCGTGTCCTGGGATTGCCAGTCACCCGCAGGGCCGATCTCGAGGCGTACAAGCAGCCCAATTCCGGAGATCTCGCCACATGCCTCGAGCGAGTGATGCAAGCTCGAGGCTACGCGCATTCGAAGCAGTTTCCTGTCAGTGTGGAGGAAATTGACGACGTACTCGCCACACTAGCGGGACACTCAAGGTTTTCCGATCCTTCCATGCCTAGGCCTCCTCCGGGCTCCGATACTCGAGAAGCAGAACTGAAAGGTATCATTGATCGATCGAGCCCCGTGGAGGCGAAATGGCTAGCTCGCTTGATCTTAAAGTGTTTCAAACCGGCCATCATTGACGAATCACTGATTCTCAGGAGCTTTCATTTCTTGCTTCCCGACTTGCTCCAGTTTCAGCACGACTTCAGGGCAGCCACGACGATGCTCAAAGGCGAACTCAAGGGATATCATGCGAACCCAGACCCGAGATCACAGCAGCTCTTCAAGCTACAGGCGAGCGAGAGGCTGCGGCCGCAAGTGGGTACCAAAGTCGGTCGACCAACATTCCACAAGGCCAGATCACTGGACTACTGTGTCAATACGATGCTTGGTAACAAGGAGTGGGTGCTGGAGCGCAAATATGACGGAGAGTATTGTGAGATACACATCGATCTAACGAAATCAAGTGACCGGGCCCAGTGTGTCAAGATTTTCTCCAAAAGCGGCAAAGACTCGACGGCAGACCGCAAGGGCCTTCTCTCAACTCTGGTCGAATGTCTACGCTTGGGTAAATCTAATTGTAAGATCAAGCAGCGAGCCATTTTGCTAGGGGAGCTTGTCATATTTTCCGACCAAGACGACCGCGTTCTACCTTTCGAGAAGATCAGAAAGCACGTCACACGATCAGGTACACTCATTGGCACAGCCGCTGACTCTCAAGCACATGTTCATGAGCACCTTGCCATCGTTTTCTTTGATTTACTGCTCCTGGATGATGAAGTGGTCATGAACAAGTCAGTCCAGGAGCGTCGGTTCTGGCTACGAGAGGTCTACAAGAAGAAGCATGGTCGGGCTATGGGTGCCGAGTGGACATTGGTTGATTTTGCCACGCCGAGAGCTAGGCACCGGCTTGGTGAACAATTTGCAATGTCAATCGCTCAACGATGCGAGGGTTTGGTTTTGAAGCCTTGTGGAGTGCCGTACTTCTCCATGGGTGCCAATAACAACGACTACCAACGCAGCTTTATCAAGATGAAGAAAGACTACATCGAAGGACTGGGAGACGAGGAAGATTTTGCTGTTATTGGTGCAGGCTACAACGCTCAGCAGGCTCTCACAGGCGTCAGCAAGGCGGTGAAGTGGACAACGTACCACCTTGGCTGTCTCGTCAACAAGGACGATGTTCGCAGGAACAACGCACGACCTGTCTTCAAACACGTCGGAACGATCGACCAAGAGCATTGCATTCCCAAAGCTGTGCTCGAAGCTGCAAACTCGGTTGGTAGGTTTTTAGAACAGCCATTTGCTCAMYCTGACCCTCCAAAGAGTTTTGACATTGAATCTTCACCTCCTCCGAAGATGAGCGTAGTATTCGACAAGCCTTTGGTTTTCGAGGTGCTTGGTTCTGGATTTGAGCAACCGTCCAATTGCAACTATTTAATGCTACSACATCCAAGGGTAAAAAAGTTTCACCAGGACCGTACCTGGTTGGACTGCGTCAGCTTCCAAGAACTACAGACCCACGCCAGGGTCTCGCGAGAGGCGCCTCCGGACTCCGAAACTCAAGAAACTCGAAGGTGGTTGGACAGACTCGAGGGCAGCTGCAAGAAYAAGGTCGAGAGGCAGACCACGCTTTCACCGAGGAAGAGATCGTCCGGAAACACATCGACACCAAGAACATCCATAGCCAGCTCTTCCGTTCAACTGGCCAGTCCCGCAAAGCGATTACCTGGCCGTGCTATCTCAGCAGCCTCCGTGCCCGACTCTTCGTCACGCTCTTCTGACCCTAACAGCTCTCCTCTACACCGCCCGCGCTTAACAGAGCGGCAGCAGTCGGCAGTTAAAAGATCACACGAGGAGTTGGGTGAGGTGCAGCGTCCGCAAGTCAAGCGACAGCGAACAGATCCCCAGCAGATCAAGAACATCGAAGCACTTCCTCCAAAGTCATCTTCGCCATTGATCGAGCTGTCCAACAATGTTCGGTCTTATCACGACCATGCTCGAGCGCAGAGCTGCAGAACAAACCGCCACTCAACGGCCATTGCGACTCTAACCAGAAAACTGGTCTCACTTGTCTGTCCAACCACTTGCAGTAGCCAGCGTGCTTCACAAAATACGTCAGTCGCCGTGTGCAAGTGCAGCCGTTGTGCCTTTTCGAACACCGTGGTCGTTCTGGCACCGTGCATTGCAGCAATGCCATATGTGGTTGAGAACTTGTTAGCTACACACCATGCTACCATCGCCACGGATTTATCGTACTGGGATCGCGACTCGTTTTCTCATCCTCGTCACAGCGAGACAGTCTCGGAGAGTCAATCGTATCCCGGCATGAGAAAAGTGGTACTCGTGGAAAGGAAGAGGTTGCCGCAGCTTCGAGACATGGTTCGGGAGATTCAGGAGCTCAATAACGGAAGGTTCGCGGAGAGGGTGGAGGTTTACGATTGGAGAGTCTTGGAAGACTGCTCAAAGCACGAGAAAGGGGCAGAGTGTTTGAAGCGGCATTTTATTGGTGCGACTTTGTTTGATGATACCCAGAAGAAAGCGCTGTTTGTTGCGGAGAGTGGAACTGGATATTTGGAGGCACAAACCTGAGTCTTGAATTCAGTAGCTTGAGACTGCCTTTGGATATTTCAGAAATTCTACAGATTTATCGCCAGGCTTTGCAACTTTACTCAACAGCCAACAGCGGCCAGCGGCCGGAGCTAGTGTATGCCTACTCATCCACATCGCAAGCCTCCGGCTCTGCAAAGAGCCATTCCGAAGGCTCAGCGTCACATTCAGCAGCAATAAATAATGGTATCATGGGACTACGAATTGCCACGTCCGCGCTTTCGATACTGCTCTGATCTCCAGATCGGCCAGTATCATCTACGCTAGCACGGTTTGGCACAGACAGCAAAGCGACTTGACGTTTGAGCTCTTCCACCTCCCAATCGAGATTCCTGATGAGCCGAGAATCGTTCTCATGGTTGGTCTGCATAGCAACGGCGTTCTCAAAGCTGTTCGGCACTGGGACTGATTTGCGCTGCTTGGCATTTTCTCGAAAGGTATCTTCAGCGAGCACACGATAAACTTGATCTTCGCGGCGCTGTTGGTCATCAGCAACGTCCTGCTTCTGTTCAATAGCTTGCTATCTTGGAAGATCGACAACTTCTTCGTCACGTTCGCCGGAGATTTATCGTTGCATGGAGTGCAACGCGGTCTGTTCTTCCAATTCCAAGTCCAGTCGCCCTTGTATACCAGTATTGAGCGGCGCCGTCGCGCTGAGTTTGCGTGGGAGCCGATTTTACGCCTTTCAACAGAACGCCTCTCGTTGTACACGCAAGATTGCATTCGATTCGAAATCAATACTGTTGTCCATCGCGGGCTGTTGCAGGAAGCGACTGCGCAAGACTTGCAGGTTTTCCTCGTTGCGTGTGACTTTGCTCGCCTTGCTTTCGCAAAGCCGCTGGGAGAGATGTCGCAGAATTGAGAGCGTTGCTCGTGTGGCAGTGATCATCGTGACCTGTTCCAGTCCCACGGCATTTCAGACTTCGTCGTCCTCGTCTTTGACATCAAGATTGCCGTCCTCACCACCGTCCATGGCATCATTCATCTCTTCGTCATTGTCTGCGCCCTTTTCCCCTTCAAATTTTCCATCGTCCTCGCTCGAGGGGAAATGCAAGTGCTTCCAGTCCTCGATCTCCTCAATGACACTTCTTAGACGATCACGAACGCTCTCAACGGCGTATGTGCCAAGTAAAAGCCTCAGAGGCGGATAACGGCAATGGCCAAGCTGCCAAACAAGCTCTGCAGACTTGACTGCACTCGTGGGCTGCCTATCCGAAAGCCACTGTACAATTCTCCTGGCGTGATTTGAGGGTGCTGTTGGAGTGTTGTATGGCGTCGAAGGAGTCTTGACGAGAAAGTGTCCATATCGCTTGATGGTGACATTATTTCCACTGCCAGCAGATCCATCCGGAGCCTTGTCATCTAAGCCAGTGGGTTCATCCAAACGCATATGACCAGGCTCTATGAGCGTGGCTTTGATACCGAAGGCGTCAATCTCGTAAAGCATGCTCTCTATCAGACCTTCAGTAGCATACTTGGTTGCACAGTAGGGTCCGAGTCCGGGCACACCAAGCGCCCCGGATGTGGAAGAGAAAATGATATAACGACCAGCATTTTCGCCCTCTTTTCGGAGTGCGGCTTGCTCTCTCAGATGAGGAAGGGAAAGCTGGAGAATGTTGAGGGTACCCATGAAGTTGGTCTCAAATTGAGATCGAAGATCACTATCGTCCTGGTCTTCACAGGATCCGATGACTCCATAGCCGGTGCAGCTGCAATGGGAATCAGTTCCTGAACGCACCAACATACCAGTATAGCAACCCTACTTCACAATGATATCAATGCATTTCCAGCGTGCCATGCTCTGCTGAATGACATCTTCAACGGTACTGCGGACCCGGACATCACAAAGCAGGCCCTGACATCGATCGTGCCAGCCTTGCATCTGCTGCATGCTATTCTCCTTGGTCCGGCCTACAGCCGTGACGTTGTCCCCATGGCTCAGCGCTGCCTTGACCAGCGAGCGACCAATATGGCCCGTCGCACCAAATATCAGCCATKCCTTTTGCTTGGGTGGATTCGATGGGCCGGGCGGATCGGTCGTCGACGGAAGGAGAAGCTTCGGATTGCTGTCGAGTAGTGCGCGGCGGGCTGGGCTGGGAAGTGACATGACGGCAGCATGTGCGGACAGGTCACGCGGAGAAGTTATCGCTTACAGTCCACCACAGCTCTATGCGATCCATACGGCATTGCTCTGTATGATGCCAATGGATGGATGGGTCACGACCGAGACGCGTCTACAATCCCTGCAATGGTTCGCAGTGCACAGTGGAGCCCAAAGTTATGACGATCATCCGAGAGACACTTTTGGAACTTCTTCGCTGCTCTTGCGTTTCCTTCTTCCCAACAAGCCATTACATGAAAGCCTCCATTGACGACTCTGCTACAGCAATAGGAGGATATTCAACATTGCAGCGCGTACCCGATGATTGCGTTGGCTGCATAGAGCCAGGCTTGTAAGCTCGCCTTGAACGTAAAGACCTTGAGAGAACCATCCCATTTATCATGGTGCATTACTGGCTCTGCTTTCCACGAAATTGCACGTGCTGTGGACTGCCTCTCAACTCCCAACATCTTCACGGAGGCATTTGACCTGCCGGTYGAACAGCGGTCTCAGAGTCATTGTCAGTACGTTTGCTGTGAGGATGATGGGTTTTCGTCAAGATATCGAGCGAAAAGGCGCTGCCCATCATGCACCATCACATCAAGCACAAAGACATAACATACATAGGCTTTTGCTTCATTTGCCGTTTCGCGTAGCCGCGTGACACGTTTCCCGGCTGTAAAGCTCTCGGCCGGCTTCGGTGCCCACCTGCGCTGCCACAACAGCTCATGAGCTGGAAAGAATGGCCCTTCTTCACATCATCCTACCTTACAACACGTTACACATTGAAAGACATCCAACAGATTCCCCGAACCAATTATACAATGGTCTTCTACGAACCAGGCAAGACATCTCATGGCCTACCTCGAGACCCATTCAAGGTCAAGAACTCTAACACGCATCACGAATATATTTGCTGACACAATACAGTCATGTGTGACCCCTCGACCCATTGGCTGGATATCCTCAAAGTCGAAGAAAGGGGTTGATAATCTGGMACCATATTCTCAATTCAACAATCTCAGTTTCGACCCTCCATATGTCATGTTCTCTTCCAACCAGGACCCAAACCAGCAACGAAAGGATACAGTCAACAACGCAGAAWCCACAGGCGAGTTTGTATGGAACATGGCGACTTGGAATCTCCGAGAAGCCGTGAATTTGAGCGCCCAGTGGTTCGCCGAGGAAATTGACGAATTCGAGCAATGCGGCTTGGAGAAGCAGCAGGCCAGTCTTGTCAACGTTCCCATGGTCAAGGACTCTCCAATTAAATTCGAATGCAAGCACTACTCAACAATGAGACTACCCGGCAATCCTCCGATGGGCAGTGTAGATGTCGTGATAGGGAGGGTCGTTGGGATCCACATCGATCCTTCGATTCTGACGGACGGTCTGATCGATCTTGGAAAGGCAATGCCAATTGCGAGGTGCGGCTACTATCAGTACGCGGTTGTGAAGCCCGAGTCGCTGTTTGAAATGATTATTCCAGGTGATCCGAAGTTACTCGTGGGGTTGGAGGGCAATACGGAGCAGCAGAAGAATATGGATTCCACAAACATTGAGAAGGATCAAGGTATAAAGTGATTGTAGCATTACCTACACAATTACAAGTCATTAAATTTCTCATCAATCCTGTGAGAGTAATGCTACGGTGGGTAGCATCGAAAGCATTATAGCCATGCTGTATCTTTGAAGAGAGTTCCACCTCTATGTAGAGGATGATCGAATGCTCTCGAAGGATTTACAGTGCGTGAAGAATGGCACTCATTCCAGACTACCAGCTTCCACATCTGTAATTCCATCGCTCRCTTCAAAGACTAGCCATCATTCGACTTGAGTCATACTCTGCTTGCGCTCCACAGCCTCTGCCAGACTCTCTCCTCGCTGTCCGTCAGGTCCAACCTTGATATCCTGGAAGGAGATCTCCGGCACGAAATTTTGACTCTTCCAAGCTTGCGAGACCCGGGTGTACAACTCATCAACCTCTTCCTATAGAATTGGTCAGTAACCTTTCTTTATGGAACTTTCCACCGAATCGCAGAACCAAAGCACTCCACTGTCACTTACCAGACTCAATCCCTTAGTTTCGTAGATCATGAAATAGACGAAAGCAATGCAGATGAAGCTATCCTTGTCGTTAGCCAACTTTTCTGGACATGTCATTACTACTCGGCTCGAAGACTGACCAGAAGGATCCCCAAACGAAGAACACCTTGCTCTGTAGATTGGCGTGGTCCTCGTTCACCATGTAAGGGGTTGAGTAAGCGATCGCAAAGTTAAGGAGCCTGTGAGCCATGTCAATACGTGGAGGGGGCGAGAGCATATTCTAGAAAACTTACCAGTTGGTAGCCGTGGTCATCGAAAGACACTTGGCACGGACGCGAAGGGGAAATAGCTCGCCAGTCACCACCCATGCGACAGGTCCCCAGGAACAAGCGAAGAAGAAGATGTAAATGCAGACGAAGGAGATCGCCGCACGTTGGGCGTCAAGGTTGTCGGCGCTGGCGGCTGTACCGGTGATGGCCACGATGAATTGACTGACACACATTCCAATGGCACCCATAAGGAGCAGGTTGCGTCGTCCAAGCTTCTCAACGAGGTACAGACCAGGTAGAGTCGAAACAACATTCACCGAGTTGGTGATGACTTGGATGATGAAGCCGCCTTGCTCAAAGCCTGCGTTCTGGAAGTATTGGGTGCCGTAGTAGAAGATGAAGTTCTGCATGCAATGTTAGGATGGTTTCGAAATATAATTGACTGATGAGCACTCACCACACCGCTGAGTTGCTGGAGACCTAAGGGAGAAGTTGATGTTAGCAGATGATAGCTTGATTTTCTCGCCAGTGTCTTTGCCTACCTTGCAGACAGCATCCCGTAAGTAGACGCTTGCCGACCGTGCCCTTGAAACAATCCATATATGTAGCTTTGGAGATCGAGCACTCGTAGCGATGGTTGGCTTCCACCTCAGCAAGCTCACTAAGGATGGCGGGATGATCCAATGGTAGTCGACGAAGCCTGGCTAGAGATTTGACAGCTTGATCGTGCTTGTCTTGCTTGATAAGGAAACGCGGRGTCTCTGGAAGGAAAAGCATTCCCAAGCAGATGATGAGACTCCAGGCAAACTGAATGGCGACTGGAATGCGATAGCTTCCACTGTCATTGCGGTCGGTAGTACCATAGTTGACAATGGCCGCAAGGAACAATCCCTAGTTATTTCGTCAATGTCGAGCCAGCATTTCGATCAGTCTGTTTCTTACGATGGTGATGGCAAGCTGGTAGGCACCCACAACAGTTCCTCGAATCCACTTGGGAGCCGTCTCACTTTGGTACCTGAGGAGATGGGTGGGTCAGCTTCTTGATGCAGGCCAAGAGGTCCCCCTGAAGGTCGATCTGTGCATCGCTTACATTGGAATCATGGCACTGATCAGACCAACTCCATATCCAGCGAAGAATCTTGTAAATTATCAGCATCTGTCGTTCAACAAAGCAGAATTCAACTCTCTCCGTGCCGCCTACCTTCCTGCGATAAACAGTGGCTGGGACGYCGAGATGGTCTGCAATATAACGCCTAGGTTGAAGACAAAAGTGCAGGAGGCGATAATACCCCATCTTCGCCCAAGTATATCAGAGACAGGCGCTGCGGTCAATGCACCGAGGAAAGTACCCGCCGACCTACTTCAGGTTAGTAATGAATGATGGATCGGATCTGAGCCAAGGCCATACAAGATCGAGACGATGAGTGAGTCCTGTGAAGTCGTAATCTTGGTGTTGTCTCCCGTCGCAAACGATTGGATGAAATACGGCATAGCCAGTATACCACTGATGATTCCCTATAGCAGTCGTATGAGCAAAGTCCACCAATCGAACATCTTCACAAGCATACCGTATCGTATCCATAGAGAACACCACCAAAGGCCACAAACAGCCCAACCAGAATGGCAGGCCATGATGCGCCTGGCTCTCCCTCTGGCTTCTTGATTCGAAAACCCATACTTGCTGACTTCTTCTCGACCTGCAAGGATGGAAGAAAAGTAATTGGAATGTTTTGCAACGAAGCAGTAAGCGCGGAATCGTTATATATCACCTACATCGTATGCGCCGAAAGTCCTACGGAATCCTTACTGAAACTGCAAACCATTGCGTCCTTTGCCTTGACTTGCCGAAAGATCCCCACGTTTTGCAAGGTTGGTGAGACCGTACTATGCGAGTAGTTCGGAGCCATAACTTCTTAAGGACTCCAGCGTCTTGGGGACTGGGCTGCCAAGCTTGTCCGCGTGCTGACATGCGGGGAGTCTGGGACAAAATGCATCATCGCAGAATGYGGCGTGGTTGCGGGGGCATCGCATTTCCGGACTTATTGACCGGTGTTGTTGGCCCGATCTTGTGCACGAGCATGTGCATATCGCGCTTTAGCTTGTGCAAGCTTACAGGCGAGTGCGCCATGAAAGCACAGAAAGTTCGTCTAGGAGACCCTTGTAGTCGACCAGGAACTGTTTTTGGATGGCACGAGGGATGAGTTGTTTTCATCCAACACGGTGGATCGATTTCAGAGGCCGGAAGCCAACGTCAATACCGCACCAGGATCCAGCATGGAAATTGATGCAACGACAGGAACATCGACATCCCAAGAAGACCGAGTGCCAATGGAGCGTGCTTGGCGCAGTCTCGCTAACATTGGCACTCATACACGACAGGGTTACTAGCTCGTGCAGCTCTTGGCATCGGTAAGATGGTCCGGCCCTACGAGAAGAGCCCGACGCCTGACCGATCAATGTCAACAAAAAGGTGTGACAGCCGCTGACAACGGGTGCTCGTGGCCATGTTCTACTTCCTGGGCATTGCTTGGCCAAAGGAGGTCTCGATGGCTTGGTGCTGCTCGTCTTGAAAGACCACATGATCAGGGTGGCAATAATGAAGTTGGTACAGTACAGCAATTCGATGGATTGGCGTGAACCGCGTGGCCTAGAGAACTACAGCTCAGCAGACTCTCGGTCTATTAGGTTGAGAGCAACATGGAAAGTGCTCCAGTCGTCAATACCACTACGCTGCAGTGGCGAGTGTCTAACCTGATTCTTCACCATAGACCGCATCGAAGAGGGGTTCAACGTGTGCTGAGAGCTGGATTCGACTATACACCGTCAAGCCTACTTACCGCCTGCCGAGCCGTTGGCAATGCTTGCACGAGGCCTGCGATTGAGTCAGCAAACGTTCGATATCCTCACACTCCAGCCAGGTCACCTACACGATGATTTCAAATTCCTTCCAGCGAGTCAAAGACAAGTCCGACTTTCTGTACGGCCTGAGTAGACTCTCGGGCGAAGTATGAGCTTGCCTCTGAGCAGTCAGGCTCTTCATCGATGACGACGTTGCAAAAGAAGAGTCGAACATGAGCAGATTGCGACTGCCATCAACCAACCTCTCCAGGCCGATGATGGTCAGGGAATGTCCAAGGCGCTGGAAGTAGATTGGAGGCAGATTCGTCACGAATGATGTCCCGTGTTTCTCGGCGTCCTCAGTACCAGACATGAAATACGCTTCGACATGATCCAGCAGATCGGCTACGGCATAGTTTGCACGATCGTCTTTGCCTCCAAAGGCAAGAGCCTCAACCTTGACGCCAATCCGGGTGAAGAATGCCAAGGCTTCTAGTGTTCCAATCCCTAGAGTGAGGACGACACAGTTAGCGTTTGCCATCATGGTTCGGCTTCCGCGTCGAATCTGATCCGTGACATGGAGGGAATATCCAGCCCTCTCTACGGACAGGCCAAAGTTTGCTGGTGTGACTTACATTTGCGAGTGTTCCGAATGCCGCCAGTTTCAATCTCGCCATGTGGACACAATCCACGGTCCCAGGCTTGGTGGATATATGCTTGGATTTGCAGAACATTAGGTATCTCCTGTGGTCCCTCAGGAGTCACGGCCTGCAGCCAGGACAGCAGCACCTGGATGTTCCAATACCCACAGAAATTCCCGTTGCACCGCACCTTGTAAATATGCTGAGTGGACGGGTGGCAGAGATACGCGGCGGTTGTGTTGCATTGGCGAGCGCACAAGTCGGCCAGCACTGGTATAATACCAGCAGTCTGGTTGGGGAACACTTTCTGCCGGAGCACTTTACCATCCCTGCCAATCTGATTGACAAAAAGCGGCTCCGACCCTGCCATCAGATCTCTCCTCACCTCGTTTGGCATGGCGTCTTCAAATGCGTAGGGACCAAGCTCGTACTTCCCTAGCCGCCCAGATGCTCTCAGAGGTTCTTCACGGATGTGACGAATGGTACGTCGAGTTGAAGCCCTCACCCTCGAGCGAGTGTGGGTGGTTGCAATGCCTGCGAAGTACTGCAGTAGATTGTGACCAGATCTAGCTACATTTCCAGACTCGGGCTTCACTCTCGAGAGCTTCCGTGGGCTTCTTTCCATATGCATCCTAGATGAGCCAAGCCGCAATTTATCCTTGTCCGGACTTCGTCGAGCAGGTAGTGGAGGTCGCGTTTCCTCGGATTCAGCCAGCGCGATGGCAGCATGCATGTCGAGATGCTGGTCGATGTCGTAGATGAGAATGTAGTCGCCACAACCAGGGCGCGTACAGCGCGTCCACATGTCCTCAGGCGTGATGTTTGACTGATGGTGGTTTCGGCCGGCRGGGGAAAATCCTAACTGGGGTAGATTGGAAATTAAGCTTTCGCTGTGATTGTCCTCGATGTGAAGCATGGTGGCATATTCGCTGTCGCTGCGAAAGTCGCAGCTGAAAGGGCAGGMATTCATGATGCGCGCAGGTGAGGAAGCCGTGGCTTCCGAAGTTGGTAGCAGTGAGGACCAAGGGACATGATGTGTAGAACTACAGTGAAGGGATTGGATATGAAGGTGCCAGAAGTGGGCACGTGTGAGTCGAGTCGAGTCTTGATTATTGTTGCGTGAGGTTGATGTGGTTGATGTGCACAGTGAGGCTGACGGCAAACGCCCCCAGAAAGTCTAAAAACCTTGATTACAAGGGTTACATTCACAGCACACATCGCAGCACTACACACTATGATCTACAGCTAGTTATACACACCGTTTCTGGYAACAAACTGGTGAGCGTAGTGCAAAGCTCTTGGATAGACAGTGGTTATTGTGTGAGCATTCATTCGTCAAGCTTGTATTGTACTCCAGCATGGCTGCTCCCATCTACTGCTCTGTTGCGTGCAGAAGGCTCACTCCTTGGTTGAGGAGAATTTTCCAGCCGATTCATCAACCTACAAACTCTGAGCACCGTTTACCGGATGATCATGTTCTCGTTGCCAGGTCCAGTACCAATGTACTTGATCCGTACGCCGACAAAATCCTCGATGTACTGAACGTACTTTTGAGCATTCTCAGGCAAATCCTCCCACCGCTTCATACCGACGGTATTCTGCTTCCAGCCAGGGAGCTTGACGTACTTAACGTCAAGGTTGTCCAGAACGCTCAGGTCAGCAGGGAAGGACAGGAGCTTCTGGCCGGTTCTCTTGTCGTAGTACTCGGTGGCCACCTCAATCTCGTCAAAGTCATCCAGGATGTCCAGCTTGGTGAGATTGATGGCATCGTACCAGTTGATGTCGTTGGAGAACTTGACAACAACGAGATCGAGCCATCCGCAGCGCCTGGTCCGTCCAGTGGTGACACCAAACTCGCGTCCCACCTTTTGAAGCTTAGCACCAACCTCGTTCAGTTGCTCAGTTGGGAACGGTCCTGAGCCCACACGAGTAGTGTAGGCCTTGACAACACCGATGGTCTCGTCGATTTTGCGCGGGTTGATGTGAAGGCCAGTGAAGACGCCGCCAGCACCGGTATTTGAGGAGGTCACGAATGGGTATGTGCCGTTGTCGAGATCCAGCATCAGGGCTTGACTGCCCTCGATGAGTATCTTGACACCTCCCCGCACAGCAGAAGCCACAAGAGGAACCTGATCCACGACGTAAGGCTTCAGCTGCTCACGGTAACCATCGAAGCGGCTGATCTCCTCGTCCGCGTCGTATCTCAACAGGTCGCCATAGCGCTTACGGAAGCCGTCCTCAAGGTGACGGAGCTTCGCGTCAAAAATCTCCTTGTTGAAGATGTCGGCCATGCGAATACCAGTGCGAGTAGCCTTTGTGGAATATGTTGGTCCAATGCCTTTGCCCGTGGTGCCAATGTTGGCCTTTCCCAGCTCCACCTCCTCAAGCCCATCCACCCGGGTGTGCAGGTCGAGATCCACATGAGCACGGTCGCTAATGAGTATCCGGTCCTTGGTGTCGATGCCGTTGAATTCGAGCTGTGCGATCTCCTTGAAGAATCCAGGAACGTAAACAACGCATCCAGTGCCGACAAGGTTGACGCAGCCTTCGGTGAGCACGCCGGATGCTGAGAAGGCGTCAGTGTATACGATAGCTGGCTGCAAATTCGGGGCTACTCACGCAGGATGTGAACGTCGAATGTCTTGCCGTTCTTCACGATTGTGTGACCCGCATTGTGTCCGCCTTGCGCGCGACAACACAACTGCACCCCGCTGCTCGCAATGACATCGACAATCTTACCCTTGCCTTCGTCACCCCACTGCGCTCCCAATATGATCGTCGCCATGGTGTTTGAGGAAAGCTGTCGTCGGAGTAGCCATTTTTGAGAAAGAAGAACAGAGTCACTCAGCAAGATTTTGATCCATCTAGTTCCGCCGGTAACGGCCGTCATTGGACCCCGCCATTTCCCTGAAGTCTCTCGGCATGTAAGGTACCTAGGTACGATATGAAAGCAGCCTTGAGGCAGCATTTCGAAGCGCTTCATACTTCACTCCCAACTGATGAACTTCACTTCCGGAGAGGCGGATGGGCTTCGATTACTTGWATTTCCTCAAGAGCAGCGCTATTCTTCACTGGCCAACAACGGTTCGTGTTCATGTTCTCGAGATCATGGATCCGGCTCGAATTAGAATGGCTTCTACATATCAAGACGTGTCATCTCACAATGCTCGCGGAGTTGACACCAGATATTGTACAGAGAAAGCCGTATCAATTGACATGGTAACAATCGCCGCCTACTCCTCCTTGGCACCACCACGACCAGCCTTCTCGGCCAGCTCGATGCTCTTCTTGTCCGTCTTGATCTCGCCTTGACCCTGCTGCAGAGCACCCATCATACCGGCAGCAGCCTTCCATGGACGCTTGAGGTCGCCGCTTGCAGGCTTTCCGAAAAGATGAACCTTGACCAAGTTGCCCTCGAATGCACCCTTGAGTGGGATGATGGACTGAATGAGGAGCGGGTTGGTGTACTTGAAGTAGATGTGCATGACACCCATCATGCCGAGACCCATGAGCTGAGACTTGAACAGACCCTTCAATTGCTGTTGATCGTAGGCGTGGACGGTGGTGGTAACAGCCTTGGGCTCTTCGGTGCTACCCATCGGCGCAGGCTCCACGTATTTGAGGACCGTCATATCTGGGAGATATGTTTTTAGCGAATGAAGCAGCGGACGATTTCAATAATATGCTTACCTCTCTTCTTATCGATCTGCATCTTGACATACATGTATACGCCGAAGATGATCAAGTTGCTGAGGATGTACAGTCCACGCACTCCCATCAGKACGTTATCGTCCTCGAAAGGAATCTTCTTACTGGCTTGCATCATCACAAGGATGATGACAAGGTTGGTACTGCACGGCGTAAATCAGTATGCGCCCGACTACTTTTCCTCCGCCAACCCGCGTGCGCGCGTGCAACTTATTACGCACATTTGAGGGTTCATCTTGACGGTGGGTTCGGTGTCGCGTGAGGGATGGTGATGCTTTCCAGTGGTTTTCCGTAGAGGAGACGGGTCGGTTGGGGCTCAAGACGATGGTTGAAGGAGTGGGAGTGGATTGCTGTGGAAGGTGGAAGAAGTGGAAGAACGTGAAAGGCGAAGTGGCCAGACCAAATTCTGACGCTAAAGTCAAAGGTAAGGTACCAGCTTTGGGGGTCCACATGGCGATTGCGAAGTTGTCCACTTTTCATCTTTGAGCAAGCAACACGAGCCATGTAGGTAATAAATGGTCAGAATACAGCTGCACTTTCAATCGTAGAATTGAGGTCAGTCAAAAGGCAGGCCATGTGCTTCGATGAAGTAAACTTGGGGTTTTCCAGCAATATGAACAGTCCGCAAATGACACTGTGTAAGGTATGAATACAATTCGGTGCAACCGGAAGAAGCATCATCAGCATGTGATGAGTACAAAAAGCTCAGTATCAAATCATCGCAACGACATGCTTCTCCTTTGATGTCTGATGTGAAGGAGTGTTGCAAGAGGGGAGCATCTTCCTCTCAATCGTCGTGGAGGAAATTGCTTGGCAAAATTTTACGTCAGCACTAAGCATCTGCCACTTCGAAATTCGCTGCAGCTGCGACTTCTGGAACGACAGCAAGGTACTAACCCACGCAGCACACACAATGGCCTCCCGCGCAACCGTTTCGATCTTCGGAGCTGATGGCTCGGCCAGTGATGCCACCCACMCTCTCCCAAATGTGTTCCGCGCACCCATCCGGCCAGACATCGTTCAGTACGCACCCTCCGCAGCTCGACCTGGGCAGAAAAAGATGGATTGAGGATAATTGCTAACAGCGAGAAGGGCTGTGCACACCGGTGTCGCAAAGAACAAGCGTCAGCCATATGCTGTGAGCGAGAAGGCCGGTCACCAGACCAGTGCTGAGTCGTGGGGAACTGGTATGGACAATCTGCATTGAAGCCGCAGCGGAAAATATCTCTAACACGTCTGTACAGGTCGCGCTGTCGCCCGTATTCCTCGTGTCTCTGGTGGTGGTACTCACCGTGCCGGTCAGGCTGCCTACGGTAACATGTGCCGTTCCGGACGCATGTTCGCACCCACCAAGGTCTGGCGCAAGTGGCACCAGAAGATCAACCTTGGCCAGAAGCGTTTCGCCACTGCCTCTGCCATTGCTGCATCTGCCAGTGCTTCTCTCCTCCTCGCCCGTGGTCACCGTGTGATGACCGTCACCGAGGTCCCACTCGTCATCAACTCGACCGCTTTCGCCGAGGGCGCTCTCAAGAAGACCTCCGCCGCTGTCAAGCTGCTCGAGGCTGTCGGTGCCGGCCCAGAACTTGAGAAGGTCAAGAACTCGCGTAAGCYCCGCGCCGGAAAGGGTAAGCTCCGCAACCGCCGCAACGTCCAGCGTCGTGGACCCCTTGTCATCTACGAGCCAGAGAAGGATGGCAACACCCTTATCAAGGCTTTCCGCAACATCCCAGGTGTCGAGACTTGCCCCGTCTACGCCTTGAACCTCCTCCAGCTCGCACCAGGTGGTCACCTCGGACGTTTCGTCATCTGGACCTCGTCTGCTTTCGCCGCCCTGGACACCATCTACGGCAGCACCACCGAGCCATCTGCGCTCAAGCGTGATTTCCTCATCCCCACCAACGTCATGGCACAGCCTGACCTCGCCAAGCTCATCAACAGCGCCGAAGTCCAGTCTGTCCTCCGCCCAGTCAAGGGTGGCGCCGTCTCCAAGCGTGGTGTTGTGCAGAAGAAGAACCCTCTCAAGAACAAGCAGGTCCTGCTCCGCCTCAACCCATACGCCAAGGCCTACTCATCAGAGGGTCACGGACACGTCAAGGAGGCCGCAAGCAAGAACCAGAAGGATGCTTCTTTCGCTCCTACTTTGATGGAGAACTAGACGTGTGTTTTCTTGAGGGTTTCAGGGTGCGAAGGGTCCGGCCGGCTAAAAAGGCTGTATGGCATGGCGTTCTTCGTAGCGACGTGGCGATTATGAATGAGAATCAACACAGTTCAAAATTGTCGTACGCTTTCATCTTGTTGTGAAGTTCCAAGTATCGAAAAGGGACAAGTTCAAGGACGGCTGACGTGTCTAGATGATGAACACAATGAATGGAATCAAGATGAAGTTCTTATGGCAGACTCATCACCGCTCGGTTTTGGATATGAGAGCCTGCAGCAGCTTTGGCTTGTTGTTTTGCAAACGCGTTCCACTGACATCTAGCTTCATGGGGAATTTCAATGAGTCGAGGTCATCGACCGCGAATATGATGCGCCAGTTTGACATTCACTTCGACAAGCAACCTTGAGACTTTCAAATTGGAGGACCAGCCACACCTACCTACTTTAACATACTCTGCTATGCTGCAAATATCCAGGCCAGGCCAACATGGCTGCGCATCATACGCAACACTACCTCACATGGTTCTGGTGCCAAGTGTACTCCGGATTCTCCCTCAGAATCCTCTCAACAGCATGCTCCCCAGTCTCTGGCTTTCTCCCCAGCAAGGTCTCCAATGAAGGATCCACCAATGCGGCATCGCCCTCTACAATGCCTTGCATGAAGATCAACCGCGCCTCGAACCACGCTCTGCTCTTGCCGCCCACATCATCCGTAGCCGAGGCCGTGATCCAGTCTTCCGGTGAAAGGTACTCGATTGGGATGTTTGTTCCGCGGCCTTTGTTGATGGCGTTGACAATGTCAATCAGAGACGCAGTCGAGCCTGCAGTCAAGGGTACGATGTTGTACTTTGTTTGAGGCTTGATGCTCGGGAAGGCTGACAAACCTTTGGCAAGAAGTGTAGCAATACCTTCGGCCAGCTCATTGCGAGTGGTGAAGGCAACTTTACTGGCCGTTACTGGTGGAGTGAGCCGTGGAAGAGGCACCGATTTTGATGAAGGATACCAATTGAGGAAGAGAGGAAATGCATCGGTGTATAAGCCGGCGCGGATAGAGATGAAATCCAACCCGGATCTGAAGGTCATTGTTAGCGGGTTCGAAGGAGCAAACAATGGGACGCCTTACTCGGCAAGCAACCTCTCCGTCTCGTAATGAGCCTGCTGGAACCCGATCTTGCTCTCATTCCCAAGACCGCCCAACGCGAGACTCACATACCACACCTTGTCCACACCGGCTGCCTTGGCGGCATTGATGACATTTTGGTGCTCGGCATTGCGAGTTGTAGTATCACGCTCTGAGCTGGAGACGAAGAGGAGATTCTCAACTTGGGAGAAKGCATCGTTCAATGAAGCGGCATCCTTGAAGTCTGCCACACGAAATTGGAGCCCTTGGGATTCAAATCTTTTCTTGTTGGAGCTTGACCGAGATGTTGCGATGATGGAGGAAGCTGGCACGGCGTGTTTGTTGAGAAGGTCCTCCAGGATCTTGGCTCCAAGGCCGCCGGTCACACCAGTTAAGAGGAAAGGAGTCTTGGACGAAGGCATGGTGAGGTAGGAAGTGGTGAGCTGGATGTAGGTAGGAGGACTGGAGACTTTCTCTTCAGCTGGGATCCGTTACTGATATACTGTCAACACTCTTGTACATCACTTTGTCGATCAACATTAGGGGGATCCTGCACCTCCTACCCCACGTCATTCTGGTGGAACAGATTTGGTGATCTTTTCAATGAACAGTTCAAGCTTACACAAGCAGAGGCCAAATGCCACATTTTTGCCGACTGCTTATTCATGATATCGAAGGAACATGTTCGGGACACTCCACATGCCGACATTGATCGATTGTTAAGCACCACCGTTGTTTTCTCGAAGGTTCGATCCACCAGTGGCATTTATGTTACCGCAKGACTACAGCAAGCCTTGGAGCCCTCCTGAAGCCGATCGAATGCTGCTCTCTTAATGTGACACCTGAATTTCAAGCCCGTCGAACACTTCTCACCGTTATTATCGTCAGTCGAACATCGRGGTTACTCTTGAAGAAGACTGATGCTGAAGGCGTTTCTCAACTAGACAGCGCTGTGCAGCGCGGCCATTGGCCTTTCGGGAGCCAGCTGGCTACTATTTCGTTGGCTCGTAGTACCATACACCTCCGGTCGCATTAGTGCAGCCGCTGATCGTAGTCTGGTCAACTGGAACATAATGCCCATCTTGTGGCCGTCCGTACACATGCATGTAGTACCAAACTTCACTCAGAACTGTCCTCCCGGTATCCTTCGAGCCTGAATGCTTTCCTGCTTCAGTCTCATTGTATCGTGGCCCTGAACACCCGAGATAGGGAACAGCGCCAAATTCAATAGTCAAGGCATCCTCCAGATCGTTCTTGTTGTACGAAGTGCTGTTGCTGGGCTGTATGTTGTGCTTGGCTAGCCATTCCCAGGTCGTGAACTGCTTGTGATACTGTATTGTAGTTTCGAAGAAAGAGACCACCTCTTGGTGTTTGACATATTCTGGTCCATAGCAGGGAACATCAAAAGTGCTGAAGCACGTAGCGTGCTTCGAGAATTCATGAGCCCACAAAACGTGGTTTGGTCCTGTTTGGCTGATCCAATGGGTGTTCATCCACTGGAGGAGATCGTACTTTCCAAAAGGTTCGAGGAATGTGCCAATGTCCGGGCCGTTGTAAGCAGGAACTACGGTGCCATTTGGGAGACCAGTTGTGGTATTGGGCGAAGGCACTGGATCATACTGGCGAGAGAGGTCACAGTACTGCGTGTAAGAGCCGTTGCTGGAACCTGATCAGACTAGACGCAATACAATGATTGGGGATGACACAAACCAGAAATCCGGCCACAGTCCATGAACAGTAAACTCGTTCGGTGGCAGAGGGTTCTCGCTCCAAGTGTTCCAAAACTGAGATGTCGTTTAAGTGCTTGATCGTCGAGCGTTCCACCTCACAACTCACCTGTGTCTGCAGTACAAGTCCACCGAATGTCTCAACGCAGCAGGTATCAACACTTTCAGGCACGGCCTTTGCAGAGCAAGACCTGTAAGCTGGCTGTATGGCACATGTGTGATTCTGATTGGAAATAGAATAGAGGTCAGCCGCAACCGAGCCGGCGAAGAACACTGCAGCAGTAGCTGTAGAGGACTTCATCTTGGAACGAAATCGGGGTCGTGAGAAGAAAAAAAGCTGCGACCTCTTCACAGACCTTATATGCGGCAAGACAGACTTTCCGTCAAGGCCATGTGGGAAAAATGTGGCAGCGGACCTGCATTAAATGGTAGATCCTCGTGCATTGAATGCCTGCAGCGATAGGCGGAGATGCTAGAGTAGGCTTGGCTGCATCGAGGCCGAGGCCGTGAAGACCATTCGGAGGACTTCTCGAAGTGGCAGGTCATGATGACTGCTCATTTCGCGTGGGAACACGCTGAGCTGGCCCGCTGCCGATGAATGGCTTGAAAATGAATCTATTTGAGGTGGTKTCGACTCGATTGTTAAGGGCGATGTTCCATGTGGGTGGTGTTGTTGCATTGCCAAGGGGGACCTCGGAAGATAATCGGGCCTAGCGTGAAGCTTATATATTCAGCAACGGATTTTCGTCTTCCACCTCTCAGTACATATCGCCGTTGTAGTATAGTGGTTAGTACTTTCGCTTGTGGTTGAGTTCAGGCTCCTCTGCAATCCGCGAACATCCCCTGTTCGAATCAGGGCAACGGCATCACGCAACCATCTTTTTTTCCAWTTTCGTCGTTTGCGAAAATGTTCCTTTTTGCTGTACGGAACGTTTAAAGGTGCCATTACCAGGCTGACAGAAATTGTGAACGGCCGGCACAAAAGATGAGGATGTTTTTTATCTTCCGCCTGCGCTTCCAACTGCGAGTAAAGGCTTCTTTTTACAGGACACGGTGAGGATCACTGGCGTTTCCACTGATGAGAGGTGTGAGATTGGTGTCCAAATGCCCCAGGTAGGTCCCAATTCCTGTTGAATCTTCAGTGAGACACGTCGTTTTCGTACCAAAGTTATACGTGATCAAACATGATTGATTACATTTCCACAAAGCTCGCTAGACGGTCTCACGCAATTCGAAAAACTCCTCTTCGAGAGCTACAGGTTCTCTAGGCACAACACTGATGCCCCAACACGCATCAAGATCTCAGGTCGTTAGCCGGATTTTCACACGGGATGGTTGAAGGACGCCGTTCTCTCTGTCAAACCTCATCGGTAGCGCATCAAAACTCATCGAAATGCAGTTCTTCCACAACTCATCCCTTCCATCAAATATCAGAGTCTCCCTCCTCCATGATCGTTTGCGCATACAAGCTTCGCCGAGACTGTCCTCTGCGACTGCCATCAGACACACTTATGTAACCTGACGACACCGCTCCAGGCGAAATGTGACGGGCCGAATCCGGATCATCTCGCATCTTCTTCTTCTGCTTCTCCTCTCGGTATTGCTTTGCTGTCCTCGGTTTGGGTTGCTTGGGGGTAGTTTTGCTGTCCAGTTGGAGCAGTTTGTAAAGCCATCCATACGTCGTTCGCACTATCAAGCCTCCCGTGAGGCCGACAATAGCTGCAATACCCAAGTAAATGTAGATTGTCTGCAGAATCATCAGTTCAAGTCCCGCCTCCGCCTCTTAACACAACACGTCATACCTCAAATTTGGCGATTAGTTGGAAAGGCCAAAGCAGACATGCCAATAGGAAGCGACCCAAGTATCCAAAAGGTTGAAGGATGAAGATCAATGGCTGAGACAGAAGATACAAGACGTATCCGACTGTACTGGCAAGCTGCCAAACGACGACGCCAACCCAATAGCCGATGAAAGACAGGGCTGTTCCGATCCAAGACAAGGTGCTTGCAACATGGGCTGGATCCACCGCATCTGCCATGATTGTGTCACTCTGGTCTCATCCCGATGGATTGGAAGTGTTGCTGCCACGGCCCGTCAAACATTGCGGTCAAAGTACAACGTGGCACGCGACGACGATCGAAGTGTGGGAAGCATGTGAAGGCAAGGAGCCGTGCCCGACAAGGTTTGAACTAGCTGCGGAGCCCCCACCCTCGCATACGCCAGGATCAATTCCCCAATTTGTTGAGATGGACGGCTGTTGTAGATGTATCTCCCTTTCCTCCTTCCCTTCGCTTTCGCGGTGATGAGCTATTCTTGAGTGCTCAGCAGGAGCTGGTAGGAGGAACTGCGCCGCGCTGTTATCGGATTCGGCGGGAAGTGGAAATGGGTAATGCCGAGTCACGCCAACCAGGCGGRGGGGCCTCGACGGGGACGCCACAGCGGAAAGAGTCTCAGCAGTATCCTCGAGCGGGCAAGAGCGGGGCGGGAACGGCGGCGAGCACAGAGCATGCCAGCAGTCCCAACACCAAGACAAAGCATGGCCGACAACGCTCAACCACGACCGCCAGCYCCACGAAACACGACTCGAGCAGTCGTAGCAATACCCCGAGCAATAGCAACACCATGGGCAATGAGGCCAGCGCACCGCACGCTCCCTCACGGCCCGGCACACCGTCACCACCTGCGACGACAGCATCACCTGTAGAGCGCGAATCGACTCCCTCCTCACAATCACAACCAGTGGCAATCCCGCTCTCCGCCGCAGCATCGGCCAGCGATGGGCAACAAGATCCGGTGCTGTCGCCAGCATATCACTTGCCGCCCGCAGCGATATACAGCCGACCGCCGCGTCTCCCTCTCCCCATTGAGGAGGAAGATCACATGCCCGGCTCGCCTATCCTCCCATCCCAGGACATTACCTCACCACTCGATGATAATGACCTCGAAAGCGGCATCATACCGCGAAGGTCGAGCATGCTCAGCTCGACCACAGTCGACGATGAGGAAGACATGGAGAATAACGACGCCTTTCCTCCAGACGTCTCTCAATCACTGCAGGTCAAGATACCCACGAAAGTGGAGTGGAATGGCCCGGGCGAGAAGGTGTTTGTGACGGGAACATTCTGCAACTGGGAGAAGAAAATGAAGCTGCACAAGAACAAAGGATCGGACAAGCAGGGCTTCTCCGCCAATATTCTGCTCCCGTGAGTTATCCTGCGTAGACATGTGGATCATTCAGATACTGACTGTGTTCAAGGCCGGGCACACATCACATCAAATTTTTAGTCGACGGCGAGATGACAACGTCGAACGAATTGCCCACCACTGTTGATTGGACCAACATTCTTGTCAACTATGTCGAGATTGTGGCGCCTCTACCTCCCGAGACAGAGGGAGAGAAGCAGCCACCCGCGCCGGCTGAGCCGATGCCGATACCAGGCGCAACAGGGACTGCAGAACAGCATGGGGACGCTGTGCGACCTCTACCCTATCGCTCTGCAGACCTTCAATCTGGTCCAGATGCAGATCTTGCCTCCACCCTACAAGACGTAGGACCGAAAGGCGAGCGAACACCATCTGTTTCAGCGCCGACACCCATGCCAGATCCAGCCCAACAGCAGAAATCTGAGCCTACCGAGCCTGTGGCCAAGGTGCCCAGACCGAAATACACCAACAAAATACCTCAATTTCTTCTCGATCTTGACAACTACAGCCATCCTGACGATGAAAGCTTTCAACGTGYGCAACGGGTCGCAGGCACACTTCCGCCGCCTCCCAGTTTGCCCATGTTTTTGAGCAAGAGTATTCTGAACGGGAATACTCCTCACAAGGATGACGCTAGCGTGTTGATCATGCCAAACCACACTGTGTTGAACCACTTGGCCACTAGTAGTATCAAGAGTGGAGTGCTCGCTACCAGCGGCACCACGAGATACAAGCGAAAGGTAATCAATGGCAGAGAGTGTGGGTTGTATTGCCGTGCTGACCGTTCATGTGTAGTTTCTCACGACCATCATGTACAAGCCTACTTCAGATGCTGGCTGATAGCCAGATGTATGGCATATTGCATTGCATGTGATAGAGCTCTACCGCGTTGTCCTCGGCCTTGCCAATGAGAAGAGCGTTTGATTGGAGACTCAGATAGAGATCGACGAGAACCACGGCATGATGAACTTTCTACAAGGGGGGAGTGCTTTTCAAGTACTCTGCTGGACGGATGATGAAGTGGGCAAATTTTGAGTGGTCTGCTCGCAGATGACGAGCTTGAGCACCAGCAAATAGACGAGGATGCGCAGAGAATGCGCAGAAATGCGCAGGGACGCCGACCTGGCGAATGGGCTTGAAAGATTCAAAGAACCATTCTTGATGGATAATCTGTCTACTTCGGCGCAGCAAACTTTCTACGTGTCACCCAGACTCTTGTATCGTCGCTTGTGGCATACACTCCGGTTGCTCGTCGATGTTTGGGCATCTTCCATGGTCCACCTTGAGCGGGCTGAATTTCCCACATTGTGATCATGGCTGCAGTGTACATGAGCGCTTCCTTCATGGCGAAACTTCTGCCTTTGCACATGCTCGACCCACCGCCTGGAATACGTTAGCTTTGAGAGGGATTGATAGTAGAGGTGATGCTCACCATAAGGTCGAATAGAACCCATATCAGCCACGCCTTCCTTCTTGTCATCATATTTGATATGTCTGTCAGCCTTCCAGACCATGGGGTCCTCGAAATAGTTGGGATCGGTGTTGTGCAAATCATGAGCGGCATGTGCATAGTCTCCCTTTTTGAGCAAATAAGGTTGAGAACCTTTCTCTCGACTCTGCAGAACAAAGTCCTGCTTGATTTCCTTGAAGGACCAAGACGCCGAATCCAAGCGTAGACACTCCACATAACTGCTCTTCAACAGTGGACATTTCGTACAGAGACCTTCAACATCAATCTTTGATATGCGTGATAGTTCTGGAATGGGGAGTTCGTTCTTCGGATGTGTAATCTCCACATATGGGGCAACCTCCTCTCTCAGCATCGCAAGGACGGTACGATCCGCGAATATGCGATTGATCATCCAAAAGACAAGTGTGTTGGAATTGGCATTCGCCGCCCAGACCATGGCATGCTCCGCGGCCGCTCGAGCCCGCATGGTGATGTTGTGTTTTTGATACACTGCCGTACGTGCCTTTATGAATGGACCGACGTCATCAATGCTTGACCATTTCGATTCGACGTCTTCTCCTTTGAGATGCCTGTCGAGGTTTATGTGAAAGGCTTCCAACGCGTCAAGGATTCTCTTCCGGGCTTGATGGGCTTGACTCAGCATTGGTATTGGAACCCAGCGTGGCAATCCTGCCGCCAGAAGGAGAAATCCTCGATCCAGCTTCCAGATATCGTCGAAGAAGTCTGGGAAGTTCTCCAGGAAATCCGTTCCAACAAGTGAAGGGATTGCATTCCAGGCGCAGAAGTCTCTGATTAGGGGAAGTAGACTTGCTTCTGCTACATCCCCTTTTTCGCCAAGGAGTTGAACGTTGCTGACTTTCTCCCACTGCATTTGATCCACAGGGCTTTGCGTATATGTAACGAGATTGTTGATGTTCTGCATCGTTTTGGCCGCTGTGCAATCCACCATGTCTCCCAGATAGGGCTCGTTCATGAGATACTTGTAACAAGACATCAATTCGGGTAGTGCAGCCATGTAACCCTTCATTTCCGAGGTTGGGAAGCCAAACACCTTTTGCACAAAACTCATGCCAACCTCCTCAGCATCTGCATGGATACTCTTCTGATTGACGAAAGCTRTTGCAAGACCGGGTGTATACAAGATGTTATGTCGAGTTGATCCAAAGTTCAACGCAAAGATGCCATTCTTGTAGCGGCTTCTCAGACTATACAAGAAGCCATCAGCGTCGGTGGCCATGTTTGGAATGTGTCCGAAGAATGGGATCCAGTATGACACTCCAGGAACTGTTTTGGCTCCCTGGCCTACAGACTTTGATTCTCCATTGGCTTTGCTAAGAATTCTTGTCAAAACGAGGATTGTGRTGAGGCCTAGAAGGATTGAGATGGTTGGATTGTTGGACACAAAGCCATTTTCGCCGAGCAGATAGCGGATCTTCAAGATCAGACCCGCGGAGGCGTGACCTGTCTCGTTTGCTGTGGCCGCCATACTCGGAGGCAACGCGATGTGGGATGAATGAAATAAAGAAGAAGATGGAGGTAAGACGGAATAAATGGGCGAGGGATTTTGTGGGATGTAGGATCGTACACTATCGCTCCTCGACTCGTACGCTATGCGAGAGCTAGAATCCTTTAAGCTTTCGGCTGATTCCCGGTCTCACACGCGAGATGAATCGATGTCTACTTCACATCTACTGTACTCCAAATGCTTCATCTGATTGCATGAGACGAAGGAGATACTTGACGCAGTATTGGAACTGTGAATAAAGCTACGTCACGGCAAGATATGGGTGCCCCAATCAGTCAATCTTGTAAGCCAGGTATGRAGGATGACCTTTGTCTGTTACGAAAGGTCCTTGTGACGACGTGAGCCTTGCATTATTGTAGCTCTCTGGATGTTCAACTCAACTTCGATGCAAGGAGACGTTGGTGTCTGGCCAGAGCTGATCAGCCTGGACCACTGGCGGATAACCAGGTGCTCCACGTTATTCGGGATCTGCTCCACTGCGCAACAGCTCTTACACCGTGGCGAGAGTATTGTTGTGGATTGTGCTGCAGAGGGGCATGCCTTTGTCCGGAATCCCAAAAAGAGTGAATCTGCAATGATGTCCGTGTTGTGCTCGTCGAGAAGATGCGACAAMATCGCGGTGGAATCATCCTGACCTTTACAAGCGCGATCCAATGCCAAACTTTTGGTAATGTCCGCTCCTCGAGACACTAGGTGGTCGAATAGTAGGATATCTTCTTCTGAGCTAACGAAGAAAACATTCTATTCAAGGGACAAGTTGAAGCCGTCTTCGAGCTGTCGTATGTAAACTTGATTGATATCCACGGCTTGATCAAGCAATCGGTCCAACGTGTCTCGGTCACCAGTAGGTTTGCTACACAATAGTCAGCTTAGGTTTCCAACCACCGAGAAATACTACAGTGACAAACTGCAGGATCCTGCGGCCCTTTGCCTTGATGACGAAACCATATTCCACTACAGTCTAATGCTTGACCGCCATACACCAAACAGATGTTGATACTGCTAGAATCGACGTCGTATCCGCGTAAGCAGCGCATGATGAGGGTACTGTCTGGGCTGATAGCATGTAAGCGCATTGGCTGCGTCGCGGGCATCGAGACGCCCCGAGGCGAAACGGTGCCGGATTTGGGCAACATCTTTTGAAAGACAGGCCACACGCAGCTCCTCTCATGCTATGTCGTCTTGTGGTATGTTTGCAATAATTCGGATGAGGCATTTGGCTGTAGATAGGCGCTGGAGAGGAAAACTGGCAGCAGGACGTGCTGAATGCTTGTATTTAGGCGCCGGTATCAGATTCCTCTTCTGATTTGCGGAAGCCTGTCCAAGTAGCTACGATGCTCTGTAAAGAGCGATGCAGCATTTTGGCTTTGGAGCCTGTCGATTGCCGAGTTTGGCCATATAACATCTCTGCCAATCAAAGTGAAATGCACAGTCTGAAGGATGAAAGCTTAGCAAGGTCAGCCGGTCCACTCGACAGCAACATATAGGAAGACTTCGGTCTGGTCTCAGTCAACTCCACCTGCTGCGTGAGGGAGCTGTAGTATGCCATCAATAGAGAGGAAGGCTCGCCTGAAATTCTTAAAGTACGCCACGTTTGATACGGTATCAGACGTTTGTGAGCTTTCGTAGATCAATGGCAACTCTGCATTCGTGTACTGCACAGAACCCTGAATTTGGTCGGAGGGCGCTTCCTGGCTTGAAAGGATTGGCTACGATTTGGGCGATGCCAGGCCACCAAAAGCTGGCGGCAGCGAGCGTATGACGGTCAAGATTCAAGACCATCGATACGTGAAGCTCCAGCGTCCAGAGAGACTGTGTGCAGCGTCCTCGGCATGATCCATCTCCCAAGAAGTCGCTTGTGGTGTCGTGCACTGAAAGATCACGGAATACATGTTCCGGCGGCTAGCATCACTCGAGAGGCGAAGATCGGAAAATATAGACCATACAAGCTCGACATGGCATGGCTCCATCAGCAATTTTGCAGCCACCAGTTGCCAAATACGTGGTGGACATGAGGAGACAGGTTCCGGCGGAAGGCAGCGGTCGATGTTGTCGTGAGTTGTTGACATTTTTGGCTTGCCTTTCCGAGCATCTCGGTGAGCGTTTCGTCTTGGGGGTCGTGCAAGCTTGCCCAGTTCGATGGAGTTGTGCGTCGCTCAGGACGATTATTGGCCATGGCGTAGCAAACATCGAATTGGGCGCGGACCCACGGCAGAATCTCGGCGTGGCTGTATCAAGATCTTGCATGCCTGCTTGCTCGCAGTTGTGTTCCGGCGGAACCTCCCCAAGGATCTTTCATCACCTGCAATGTCCGGACTCGGGACGATGTATTCGCATCGCAGGGGCAATGACAACTTCATTTCAGCATCATGTACCCGGACGTTATTGCCCGCTCACCTATTCACACTGTCATATCAGTGGCGTACACTTTGAAGAACATAACCAAGGATGGCGATGGAAGAGTCTACAGCAACATTGGCGCCAATTTCTAGGCGCGGATCGTGTGACAACTAGGAACAACCGTGCAACCGCCGAGGGTGAAGTGCGGAGGTCCCATGGGGAGATCGTCATCGAGCTCTTGAAATCATCGATACGATGTTGACCATCACATCACCACATCGACAATCGACCACATCGCAGTTGCAAATGCGACAATGGTTAACACAGCTATGATACGTTGTGGCCAGCTCATTCACTTGGTGGCTGAGCTAAAAGCTATCGCATAGCTTCTGGAGAAGCACATGAAAAAATTGTGAACTTATCCGAATCGACCCCGCGGAGCCCATGTGACATGTAGCCAGTCGGTGACTTACCTCGAGAACAAGCATTCATCTTGTACAACGCAGATTGGCTCCCCCTCCCACATGCTATGCCTGCATGCAGCCAAGAGGCATCGCCTATGTTGTATTGGCGGTCTTGGACACTATTGAGGTATGCATGCACGCTCAGCATGGACCCTCGGGATGCCCGATTGTGCTTTGACTTCTTGATCCATGGAGCTTCGTGGGACATGGTCTCCGTGCCTGTGGAGACCGAAGGGCACGGAGTATTGAAAGCAGGTAAAGGTTGTTTCTTGGCTGCACCTCCTTAGCATATAAGAAGCTTTCCCCGCCTGGTCTGGAGATCTGATCCAGTACGTCTCACCGAAGCCTCCAAGATGGCGGATGAGAAGATCGACGCCGGTTTGGAGGAGATCCGAAAGGGCTCCATCGTGGCATCCATTGATCTCAACAAGAACCTTGACGCGAAGTGAGTGTGTCTTGGTATGATGTAAAGCACAAACACTGATAACCTACCAGGGTGGCCAACCCACTCGCAGATGTGGCCGATGATGATCTAATGGCAGATGTCGAGCATTTTGCAGAGACCAAAGGACTACAAAGTGAATTGGATCTTCTCAAAAAGGGAGCTCTTGTCGCAAAGGATCCCAACAACTTCGATGCCTTGGAAATTCTTTCACAAGAGGAGAAGGACGCCCTTCGCTTTGAGATTGACCACAAATGGAAGCATCCCTGGCCTCTCTACTTTACAATCGTTGTATGTTCCATCGGTGCAGCAGTCCAAGGCTGGGATCAGACTGGTTCCAACGGAGCCAATCTATCCTTTCCTCTGGAATTCGGCATTGGAAATGGCGAGACTCCAGGCGCTCCCAACCACAAAAGGGATCAATGGCTGGTTGGTCTCGTCAACGCTGGACCTTATATTGGTGCTTCTTTTATTGGATGCTGGTTGGGTGATCCCATCAACAACTACATTGGACGCCGTGGGACAATTTTCATCTCTGGGGTATTTTGTCTTCTTACTCCTATTGGTGGTGCTGTCAGCCAGTCGTGGGAGGAGCTCTTCATCACTCGTATTCTCATGGGAATCGGTATGGGGTTGAAAGGGGCTTCGGTACCTGTGTTTGCTGCCGAGAACTCACCTGCAAGGATTCGCGGAGCGCTTGTGATGTCCTGGCAGATGTGGACCGCTTTTGGGATCTTCCTCGGTTTTTGCGCGAATCTGGCCGTTTACGATGTTGGATCCATTGCTTGGAGACTACAAATCGGATCAGCGTTTATTCCTGCAGTCCCTCTTACCAGTGAGTGGAACAATACAAATATTGAAGAATGTCGTAGCTAACTCTCTCAAGTTGGAATCTACTTCTGCCCAGAATCTCCAAGATGGCTGATGAAGAAGAACCGCTACCAAAAGGCATACAGATCTTTGCTGAAGCTTCGACACCACCCACTCCAAGCAGCTCGCGATATCTACTACATCCATTGTCAGCTCGAGCTTGAGGCTAGGATTGTTGGGAAGAACAACTACCTCACCCGCTTCGGACAGCTCTTCACCATTCCTCGCGTTCGCCGTGCAACACTCGCTAGTTTCACTGTGATGATCGCCCAGCAGATGTGCGGTATGTTGTGCTCTCGAGGAAGGTCATACGTGGCGAGCGATATGCTAATGCGCAGGATAGGAATCRACATCATCGCCTTTTACTCCTCTACTGTCTTTGTGAAAGCTGGTGCAAGCCAGAGAAACGCATTGATAGCTTCCTTTGGTTTCGGACTTGTAAACTTCGTCTTCGCATGGTAAGACTCCAACCTTCCAGACTTTGCAAATTGATACTCACAATCCCAGGCCTGCAATCTGGACCATCGACACCTTTGGACGCCGATCTCTACTCCTATTCACCTTTCCCAACATGGCATGGACTCTCCTCGCCGCAGGCCTATCCTTTTTAATTCCAGAAAAGAACCCAGCGCATCTCGGCCTAATCGCGACATTCATCTACCTCTTCGCGGCCTTTTACTCTCCAGGTGAAGGTCCAGTTCCATTCACCTACAGTGCCGAAGTCTTCCCACTCTCCCACAGAGAAGTCGGTATGGGCTGGGCGGTCGCGACCTGCTTCTTCTGGTCCTCCGTCCTCTCCATTACTTTTCCAGCAGTCCTAGCTGCGTTTGGAGAAGTGGGAGCTTTTGGATTATATGCTGGATTGAACGTTGCTGCTTTCATTATGATTTTCCTTTTCATGCCTGAAACCAAACAGAGGACTCTGGAAGAATTGGATCAGGTTTTCGCTGTGCCTGGAACTAAGTTTATTCAATATCAGACTACCAAGGCTGCTCCTTACTGGTTCAATAGATGGGTACTGATGAACAAGTCTGCAAAGTGAGTTGGATCATCAACGAATGAGGACTTTTATCCAAATACTGACCTGTCGATAGGCTTGAACCATTGTATCATTTTGATAGCCACCTCCAGGCTACCCCTAATGAGAAGGTTGGCAGCGAGAGCGAGTGAACCTGACACGATTTTTGCAGCTGTGAAAACAGCGATACGATCGAGCATAGAAGTCTGCAATGAACATACACGAATATCCCTGCTTTAATCACAGTATCACGTCTGCACGTTTTTGCTGCTCTCCTCGGACTACCTTTTGCCATGTTCTGCAGCCGTCGCTGACAATGTCGCCTCACATGAGTCTTGCTGTCAATTGCCTTTGCCTGTACATCGATATGAGATGAAAGTGGTGCTTCCATGGATTACTGCTGGATTCACAATAACCAGTCCATCGCGAACATCTCACTTTCACAGTTTTCAACTAAGGAGGATCGAACATGCCATGGAATGATGTCCCCCCTTCTCGACCGTGCTGTCGTTTACGCAGAAAACATCAAAACTGCGAGCTACAGACCGGGGCGGCAACTATCAATTTCACCGGCCCTCGGACAGAACCATTCACAAAACAAGCTCTTTGCCCTGATACCAACACTGAATATTGCTTACATGTCCATATGTCATGTCACGGCGTACGAAAGCTATATCACTCCCTCAGCAAGATTGAATGCTACCCCAACCCTAACCCTAAGTCTCAAAGCCCAGGAGGGCATGAGAAGGAGTCAGGTTGCACCCATGAAATACGGAATTGGGAAGTGTGGATGCCATTGATAGATCCGGTATAAAGCTATGAGGTGTACATCCTCTCAAGTCCATCATCCTACCTACATAACAGTTGAAAATGCAGTACTTGACAATATTCCACCATTCCCATGTGAAGACAGACGATCACTTTTCTGCCCCACGCGTTCCCGCGTCACCCTTCCTTCGCGTGGCCCGCATCCTTGACATCCTCGCAGATGAAATGATTGAGTCAGAACAATCAAGCCCGACACCTTGCCTTTTCCTCCCCCATCTCCTCATTTAATTGATGCACCTCCAATGCCTTAGTCGATCTTTCAGGCCCATTCCATTCCACATCACCCGCCGCACCATGGCCACAAGCAGCGTCCAACAGCCCAAATGGACGGCTCCCGTCCGCTCAGCCCAGCAGAGCAAGCTGCCCGAATTGTCCATTTACAACTCCCTCACCCGCTCCAAAACGCCCTTCGTTCCACGGGAAGGCAAAAAGGTCGGCTGGTATGCCTGCGGTCCAACCGTCTACGACGATGCGCATCTTGGCCATGCACGAAACTACGTCTCCCAGGACATCATCCGCCGCATCATGACAGATCACTTCAAATTTGATGTCAACTTTGTCATGAACATCACGGATGTGGACGACAAGATCATCCTGGCAGCACGGCAGCAGCATCTTTTGGCGCAATTTCTGGAGAAACACACCGAGGCGGATGAAGAGGTGCGGAAAACCACAAGGGATGCCTTTGCTGCGTACCTACAGAAGAATTTGGCATTGCTAGGGGAGGATACCACACCAGAGTCATACGTTGAGGCGTCTCAAAAAGCATATGGACATGTTCTAGCAGGGAAGAGCGTGGCCAAMGACGGCACTCCACCAGGCGACAAGGAAGCCAAGATCAAGATGCACCTCAAAACCGCCTCGTCCGCTGCAGAGGCGCTGCTTTTGACCGAGAATGATCTTCAACCCTTTGCGGCCAAGGCATCCGGTGTGCTGCTCCCACACATCGACTCCCTATATTCTGCGACAGTCCAAGGCGACGATCATGCCATCTTCACCAAACTCACAAAGGAGTATGAACAGCGCTTCTTCAAGGACATGAAGGACCTGAACGTCCTCTATCCTGACAAGTTGACACGAGTGACGGAGTACGGACCTCAGATTGTCAGCTTCGTCAAGCAGATTCAAGACAACAAGTTTGCATACGAGAATGAAGGCTCCGTTTACTACGATACCACTGCATGGGAGAGCTCGGGAGGTCACTACGCGAGATTGGAGCCGTGGAATCGAAACGACAAAGATCTGCAAGCCGATGGAGAGGGATCCCTCTCAGCCAAGAAGACCACATTCAAAAAGTCAAGCGCTGACTTCGCGTTGTGGAAAGCGTCAAAGCCTGGTGAGCCGAGCTGGGATTCACCATGGGGTCCAGGCCGACCAGGATGGMATATCGAGTGCAGTGCAATGGCAAGTGACGTCCTTGGCAAGCAGTTCGACATACATTCCGGTGGTATAGATCTGGCATTTCCACACCACGACAACGAACTCGCACAATCAGAAGCATATTGGCATGACTGTGGTGCGAAGAGCGAACAATGGGTGAATTACTTCCTCCACATGGGACATCTCAGCATTCAAGGAAGCAAGATGAGCAAAAGCTTGAAGAACTTTACAACAATCAAAGAGGCGCTGGCCAAAGGCGATTGGACGCCACGATCATTACGGATCGTCTTCCTGCTTGGTGCATGGAAGGAAGGTCTGGAAATTACACCCGACCTTGTCAAGGCTAGTGTGTCTTGGGAGGAGAGGGTGAACAACTTCTTCATCAAGGTTCGCGATCTCCAATTACACCCCTCTGGTGTGGAATCCAACGGAGACAGTAGTTCTGGGACAGAACTCGATCAATTGTTGGAGTCATCAAAGGTGAAGTTCGACGATGCGCTGCGCGATTCTTTCGACACCCCAGGCGCCATGCGAGTGATCACCGATCTCATTACATCTTACAACTCCGCTACATCAGTATCGGATTCAACCTCCATCGCCATTGGGGAGTGGGTTACCAAAGTCCTGGTAATGTTTGGTCTGGACGCAGAATATCGGAAAGATCAAATGGGTTGGTCAGGTGTTGACATACCAGAGCGTGCGAAACCTTTCATCTACCCGCTGTCGGAGTTGAGAGACAAGGTTCGAGAGCAGGCTATCCAAGGGAAGATTGACCTTCTCCCCCTTGGCAGAATGGATGAAAAGGACAACTTCTACAACGAGAACCAACCCTACGCCGGCGCATATGCGGACTTCCAACGCAAAATCGTAGACCTCCACAATAAGGAAGCACCCACGAAAGACTACCTCACAGCCTGTGACTACCTGCGAGATACCGTCCTATGGAATCTCGAAATCTACCTCGAGGATCGCGAAAAGCGACATGCATTGGTGCGACCTCTTTCAGCAAGTTTGAAGCAGGRGCGCCAGGATCGAGAAGCTATTGCTGCTTCCAAGGCGGCTGCCAAAGCCAAGGCCAAGGAAGATGCTGAGGCTGCGGAGAAGGCCAAGCTGGAAAAGGGAAAGCTCTCACATTTGGAAATGTTCCGGACGAGTGAGTACAGTGAGTGGGATGAGGAGGGGTTGCCGGTGAAGGATGCGGAAGGGAAGGAGGTCGCGAAGAGTAAGGGGAAGAAGTTGAGGAAGGATTGGGAGAGGCAAAAGAAAATTCATGAGGCTTGGGTTGCTTCGCAGGGTTGAGGCGGGCCTTGATGAGGTGTGCTGTAACTGTGAGCTGGTGGATAGAAACTCTGTCAGGTCTTTGTCTGTTGGCTTCCTGCCGTAGCGAGCACGCAGGCACGAGATTCGATTTGAATGTAAAACGTTTGAGCCGAAACGGAGAGCAGCACAAGTACATGGTGCAGCAGCATGCCTGAAACTCGAGATCTCACGTCACGGAAACATATAGACAAGGATTTTTCAGCACCACTTTTATGATTTCTTACGCTATTTTGGGCTACAAACGCCTTACTGTTCAAGAGGCATGCATGACATGCGCTCAAGTTCAAGCTCGTTCATGGATCGCCCCAGCTGCCCCAATCGCCGTCCAGTGCGTATTGTACATTTTTCGAACCTACTCCGACTGCCCCTGGCTCATCTTGACAGCTCACTCAATGCTGTGTGCTTCAAGCAGCTCAAGGTTGACGGCGTCAGTCCACTTCTCGTGATGGCTTCCCTTCATGTAATCATCCTTCGCAATCAAGACACACTTGTCTCCCATCCTATCCATGTACAATGCGCATGGCTTAAAGTGGACGTTGCGGCAGCAACCGACACGACAGCGGGAGCGAGCACATGGCTTGAGCTTTGGGCAGTTGGGGTTCACACACTCGTCACCTGGCAGAATAGAGAATGGGCAGATGTCCGCAGGCTCAAGGTCCGGGTCAGAGATGTAGATGCGTCCGCGTGCCCTGTTGTCGACCGCCTCGCTCTTGGACCGGTGGACGTCTGGGTCGTAGGAGTCCTACGACTTGCTTGCGTTCTGGACTTCGTCTTATAGCGCTTCAACTCAGCCTGGCGGGTCTCGAGTGCAGTGTTGTGGATGTTTCGCATCTTCTGCATCGTCTTCCCAAAATTGTCCAATGGCTGAGGCTCCTCAATAGAAACGGTGGTCACTCYCCGCAGGCTCGACGAGTTTAGGCCTGCTAAACTTTCAACTACTAGCAGAGTGGTCCGTCAATCAATCGWGAGAGCAGTTTAGAGCGCTGATCTTGTTGTTGATAACATCATCCGGACACTGAATAAAGCTGAAGGAGCGATCGAGCTTGCTCGCGAATGGAGGATTGTTCATCGGAATAGGCCATTCTCAGTCATGCCTTTAGTATCGTAAGGTAAGGCCTCACTCTCCGCAGGCTTGACGAGTTTAGGCCTGCTAAACTTCCACTTACTAGCAGAGTGGTCCGTCAATCAATCGAGAGAGTAGTTTAGAGCGCTGCTCTTGTTGAGTAATTTCTCATATCTACATCTAAGCACCGCGAGTATTTCGTAGAACTGCCTTAATAGACAAAGCTGTTAACGCCGTGCTCTCTGCAAAATTAATGGTTCTGGAGCTGATAGAACTTCTTATACTAGTAGAGTGGCTCGACATTTGACGGAGAGAGCAGTAGAGGGCTATGCTTTAGTTAAAGGGGTCAGGGTTCAATTCTAGCATAAACGAGAATGTTACACATACTAAGCTAGTAACATTATATTAGATAGACAAAGCTATTAACGCCGTGCTCTCTGCAAAATTAACGGTTCTAGAGCTAATAGACCTTTTCGTACTAGTAGAGTAGCCTGACATTTGACGGGGAGAGCAGTAGAGGGCCATGCTTTAGTTAAAAAGTTTCTTATCTCGATAGCTTTATAGAGCTATTAATATAAGGATTATTTATTAGGATAAGGCATCCTTAGTTATGTCTATAATGTCCTAAGGAATCGCTCTCTATAGGCTCGATAATTTGAAGCCTATTAGAATCCCTAATACTAGCAGAGTGGCTAGTAATTAATCGAGAGAGCAGTTTAGGGCGCTGCTCTTTTTAATGATTTCTTATATCGACAGCTCTGCAGCTTTGCAGCTTTGCAAATAGAAAATCCATTTTCTTCAGTCGCCATTTCGATAAGACATTCGATCCTCCATATTTGAGTCTCCGCGATGCTGCTACTTTTCGTGCTTGTAGCTACCTGTTCGTGAGCTTTGTCGTCAGTTTACAACAAGGAGAGCTGGCAAACTTTTCAATTTCACCAGCCCTTGGGCTTCAAACATCTTCTGTCATTGTATGCTGAGTGTACCATATTCCTCCGTCGTGTAAGACCCTCTCGACAATTGCATCAATATCCTCAGCTCTGCGGGTCATGCGGTCTGGGTTGACTGTGAGGAGCTCCGCTGTACGGACTGCCTCCGAAGCAATCCAAACCGCGTAAAACCGGGCTTCAAGCTATACGACCAAACGATGTGAGAAAAGGACATCTATGCAAGTCGTCGTTCCGATGAACATCAGCGTTCATACCTGATAATCACCCGTAGAAGGAATTACGTACTGTGTGCCATCGAAATCAGCAACCATCTGGATCTCGTCGTCCAACCGAACACTTCTCGAGATTGTGCCCTTAATGCAGACGGAAGACATCCAAATGACCAACAACGAGCCGCTCTCCTGGAAATCAGCAGGCTAGATGCTGGATGCGCGAGAGATGGCAAGAAGGAACAGACGACGCTTCTCTTCCAATGGGGGGAAACCCAGACGACATAAARGAAGGCATTAAGAGGCCGGTCCACGAGATGTAATGCGATCCAACGTTTGTTCCAACATGTTGCAGCTCAGATATGGGAAGAGAGATTGTGAATAGTGCTTACAGCTGCATGTTCGCAAGCGTTGTCGGACGCCTACTGCAAGGAGAGTCGACAGACGAGGCAAAGAGTGGCATAGAGGCAAGATCAATGTCGATATATATACATACATAGGAGGCATGTTCCATGCCAATTCTAGCATGATCGAAACTGTTGCACATCCCCAGCCATTTACACGTCCACAGCAATTAATATCATATCAAATCGAAGATGCCCTTCACCTCCACATTATCTCGATGCCATCTTCCTTCTTCAGTCGCACTCCCCATCTTCCATATCYATGCTGATATCAGAATCGTCGCCAGGCTGCTCCACTGACTTTGCTTTCGCCTTTCCATTTCTGTCTGGTCGAGTAACCCGCTGCTTCGCGTGAACGCACGACTTGCAAAGAAGTCCACCAGATCCCAGCGGTGCTGGGTTTTCGCAACCGTCCTGCTTGCACCTCCTTGTGTCGGCAGTAACAGGAGCTCGACCGGCTTCCACCTGCTTGGCAGAGTTTATCTTATTGCGGTGCATTTCACAATAGAGGCCACCTTTACCACCAATCGGTGCAGCATTGGTGCATCCGTCTTCCTTGCATTTGCGAGGCGGCTCGACCAGGAGTTGCTGCCCTGAATCAATGGCATCTTGTTTTTTCGTTGCTTGGCGTTCTTTGTAACAACGATCGCAGATTTTCGCCATTGCGTTGCAAGTATTCAATTCTAGCATGAACGAAAATGTTGCACGTACTAAGCCCTTAACATCACATCAGATAAAGCTATCAAAGCCGTGCTCTCTGCAGAATTGACTGTTTTAAAGCTGATAGAACCTTTGATACTAGCAGAGTGTCCCGTCATTCTAAGAGAGAGAGCAGTGGAGAGCCCTCTTTGTTGGGATTGTCATTTCAGAAACTGTTCATCACCTCCACGTTACATCGATGCCATCTTCTTCGATCGCCATTTCGATAAATCCTCCGTATCTGACTCTCTGCAAGGCTGCTGCTTTTTGTGCTTGTAGCTACCTGTTCGTGAGCGTTGTCGTCGGCTCACTACAAGGAGAGCCGGTAACCTTTTAAATTTCACCGGCCCTTGGGCTCTTTCATTGGATGGATGCCGTTTCTCTTCTTCAGTCCCCGTTCTGAAATTACATTCGATCCTCCGTATCTTGTCTCTCCGCAAGGCCGCTGCTTTTTATGCTTGTAGCTACCTGTTCGTGAGCTTTGTCGTCAGTTTACTAGAAGGAGAGCCGGCAACCTTTTCAATTTCACTGAGGATCTGAATCGGATGAAACTTTGGAAGACTACTGAAGAGGCGACGGTCTTTCATTGGATGCTCCGACGAGGAGCATATCGATGCCTTCTTCCTTCTTCAGTCTCCATTCCGAAAAGACATTCGATCCTCCGTATTTGTCTCTCCGCAAGGCTGTTGCTTTTTCACCAGCCCTTCGTCGTTATCCTTCTCGTCCGGCTAGGTGACATTCCTAGTCATGTCTACAGTATCTTGAGGCCTTACTCCCCGCAGGCTCGACGAGTTCAGGCCTACTAAACGTCCAACTACTGCTGGTGTTGAATAATTTCTCACATCGACATCTAAGCACCCCTAGCATTTCGTAAAACCGCGTTGACTAGAACAACGAGCTCAAATAGGTTGAATAGATGGGATTTGATACTAATATATACAATGCTCCATGAAAATTCTAGTATCATCGAGATTTCACCGGCCCTTGGGCTTCCACCATCTTCAGTCATCGTATGCTGAGTCACCTCGCGGCCGAATCTGCTCTACCTCAAACCACAGTCTTGTCTCGCTTCGCGCGCCACTGGCGCTGATAGCACGGATCGCAGATGGCAGCCATCTTGTTAATCACATTCTGGCAGCCGTCCTCTCCTTCAGTGCAGATCCGGATTGTGTCGTTGTGCCACTCTCGCTGCTCGTGCTTCCGGCGTTTGACAACATGCCCGCTATCTCGATCTCTCAATTCTTTGTCATGGCGACTCTTGCATTTCGTACCACAAAACTTGCCACGAGGACCTCCCACCGGTGCATTGCCATCACAGTCGTCTCGAGCGCACTTTCTGTACTCACGACTGGAAACGGACTTCGAGACTTTAGACTCCCATGCGTGCTTGCCACACATGAGCTTCCCTCCCACTGGTGCAATCTCATCACAACCATCTTTGGCGCACTTGYGGAGCAGGGCAGGATCGTCGTCATAGATCGCAAGCTGCTTGCACTTCTCGCAATACAGTCCACCTTTGCGAGGAGCTACTTCATGGCAGCCAGGAGTGGAGCACTCTCGAAGATTGTCATCGTTCCAAAGGCAGGACTGGCAGCTGAGGTTGGAATTGGTGCAAATGTTGTGGCAGGCGTCTCGTACACAAATGCGTGGCTCATCGTGGTCATCGTCATCGCGCTTCCTCTTTCCCATCGAAGCTGCAGGCTTGTGACAACCATCACAGTTGCAATTGCACATTGGTGGGCAGACGCAAGTGATTCCGACAACGGCATTGCTTTCATCATGGTCGCCGCACCCGCAGGCTCTCTGTCGCTTGCAAAAGGCACACTTGCATTGGCAGTCCGAGTCGTGATCATTCTGAAGGTGGCATGTACAATAATATGCTTTGATTCCAGCAGTTGAGACCACCGAGACAGGACAGGGAGTGTCGACTCCGATGCAGCGCTCCTAAGCCTGCATGCGGGGAACAGTAAACCCATGACCCTTGTCGTCATTTCGAAACACATCGGGAATGACGGAATCGCCCTGGTATGATGTCAAACGCCCAGCATCGACCCACTGCTCTGCGTTGACGACGTGTCGCTCAGCGTGAACAACAGAGGTGAAGCTTTGATCGACATATTCTTCATCTGCGCCGATCCATATGATTGGCTGTATGACCGGCATGCTGAGACTGACTTCAGGCGCTCGAATCTGCGCATCGAGAGATTTTTGCCATCGTTTGATGAATGGATGGTGAGAGAAGGCTAGTGGTAATCGCAAAGCTTCGCGAGCAGAAAGAGTCGTCTTGTGGTCCCAGAGTATCGACGCGATAGCGTGATGGCCGTTACGGAGTACGACTTTGAGTCGATCGTACTGACGCTGAGATCGGACGGCCCTGTCGACACTTGCAGATAGGAACAACACGCGGCCGGGCTCATCTTCAAGTCGCTCTTCCAGCATGGTGATGAATGCGTCATTGTATGCTGAGACACCTCGCGCCCGAATCTGCTCTACCTCAACACCGCAATCTTCGGCGATGCTGGAAAGGAATGCTTGCTGTCTCGTCATTGAAGGCTCCAGCTCGTCGTGACCACTTCCTCCCGAGGTGAATGATATGCGTACGATGATGTAAATACGGGTGAAGCGATGGAAATTGATGGCGGTTTTCAATGCGCCGTGGAGAGCTTTCAGTTCCGGCGGGATTCCTACTTGGCGGATGTAGTAGTTCAGTCGGATCATGACCTTATCGCGACGCCAATAGAATGACATTTGGAGTGCTCGCTGTCGTCCAACCTCGAGACGATCTTTGAGGATGTCGGTACGTTCCTTTTCATCCTTCTTGATGACGTGCCAGTCGGAATTATCGCCGTCGTCGCCGAGTGGAAATCCTTGAGTGTGCCACGTTCCTCCGTTGTGTGAGACCCTATCAACAATTGCATCAACGTCCTCAGCTCTGCGGGTCAAGCGGTCTGGATTGACGGTGAGGAGCTGAATCGGCTGAGACTTTGGAAGACTGCTGAAGAGGCGACGGTCCTTCATTGGATGCTTCGAAGAGGAGCATATCTCTACGACCACCATCAACTTGTCCGTTGGTTGCAGAGTTGCGATGACGGGAGACGACAACAAGGTGCTGAGTTGGCGGGGAATCGATTCTCGACAGCGGCTGCCGTCCTCGTTGCTCTGGCGTGTCCAAATCACAAACAGCATGTCCATGCGGTTTCTAAGGTTGAGATCTCCATATGCAATGGTGGCAGCCAGCTCGCCGATGTAAACCYCGGAGTCCCCTTCAGAGCGAGACACGGCTTCGCGGATCAAAGGAGTGACGACTCGATCTTTGAAGAGATGATCGAGATCGCCATCCGGTCGGAACCAGTCCCGCTTGTCCTCCTTGGTCTTGACGAAAGGTCGCGTGACGAGCGAGCGTGTGGACGGGCGAAGTCCCAGAACAGTTCGCAGCGTGCTGACCACCGAGTTGACTAGATCCTTGGATGGCTCCTCCATCTGTCTCATGATCGGAACGAGCAGGCAATACCGGTAGCTGTAGATTGACGTGTCGAAAACCTGCACCTGCTCGGCATACGTGACTCCAGAAATGTCCCGGACGAAGAATGATGGTTGCCTCTGTCTCAACTTCTCTGCGGCAGCTTTGCCTTTGAAATGTACCACCACCCACCACGCGACAGCCCCGAGATGATTCAGCTTTGGGATGTAATCCAGCTGTGCAAGATGACCAGCTTTGGAGAATGCATGTCGGAAGTCCAGGTTGTAGAGTGAGGCTGGATGGTTGAAAGCGAATAATAGTCTCTGGTCGGCGTAGTAAACGGTCCCGGTTTCGAAGAGAGCGAATGCCATGAGACGTGTGCATGAGCCGCCGGATGGACTGGTGTCCCTTTTAAGGTACAACAATTCGGGAGAAGACAGCTGTGATTCCTAATTCAGGCCGTACTTCGCACAAATGTCGATCATGTTTCCGGTATCGCGAGGTCCCAATCTCAGCGCGGTGCGGAAAAGGTGTGCAAAGGTTTGGTATGTTGTGGTTTGGCCCGCAGGGACATGATAGATGCCACGATTGCAGTCGGATGACCGATTGACAACCCTCATGGTCTGCATGCGGTTGGTTGAGTCAACGGCATCATTGTTCTCCACTGAGATGACTCTTGAGCCAGCGAAACGATCGCATCGCGTACTCTGCCAAACGTCACGACCCATAAGAATGTATACAGCGTCTTCGGTGTCATCCTCAATCCGCCAGTGACCATGGATCTTGGATGAGTGGCTTGCATATGCGTCAAGTTCCTGCACGAAGAGATCCCAATCATCGTCGTCGGACAGCTTCAGTGTCATTTCGGTGCTGAGAAGCCATGTCGGTAGAAGGTCAACGGGAGGGAAGAGCAGCCCGCAAGTCTTCTGTAGCTCAGCTTTGAGCTCTAGAGCGAGCTGTACAGCTGCCGCCATGACGTGACGGCTCGTCCAGCTGGGTTGGAGAAGTGGTGATGATGGTGGTGGTGGTCGTGACCGTATGGTGGTGATGAACTCTGAGGCTGCAGCAGGTCGAGTTGACATTCGGCAGGAAGCGACGGCGTGCCAAGTCTCGCCTTTCCCGAAGTGGTCGCTCCTTCATCCTGGATGAGGTTGACACTGGAGCGGAGCGGGCAAGGATGCAGACATTGATTGGCAATGCTGGTGGCGCAGGCAATGGATTGACCGCGCCGCTGTCGGCATCACTTCATTGTCGACGTGGCGGCGGCGTTTCAAATGCCATCACTGCCGCGGTAGTCGGTCGACGGCGCGCGGTGCCAGCCTACCTGTGCGAGAGGCAGATCACTGCCGCGACACATAGAACATTGGGTGCACTGAGAAGACACATCTGAGCAGATGTGGTTGTTTGTTGAGTCGAAGAGAGTGACTACCGCGCGTGAGATTTACACAAAGCGTCGCGGTGGCACTAGCGTCAAACCTTATTATACTTGACTTCAGCACCTTAGCCCCTCAGGCAGGGCAGTCGTTAACATCGCATAGGTTGTATACTGCGTCTCGTACCGCCACACCCCACCACAGTATACACCGAAACACCCATCGACACCCATCAACACCTCTCCACATACCAGCCTCGCCATGTAGTCAAACGCGAACACAATTACAACAAATCCGGCTTGCTCCCCGGGTATCTGCGGCATCATCTGAAGACGACATGCAGACCAACAAAGGCAAGTTTGCCTGGACTGACTTGCGATCCGACTGACGCGGATCACACCGGTAGGTCTGAGTTCGACGAGTCTGCGCCGACTACTACATGTATCGCGGACATCACCGCGCAGTCCCCGCACTGTCAAGGCCAGCACATTTCAAACGACTCTCTTCTCTCCCTGTTCAGCAACATGCCGTCCAACACCGTTCCGACAATGGATGAGATCCACTCGAAGCCATTCGCGCCACGCACAGTTTCGCGGCCTTCCGACGACGAGACCAAACTCGCTCGAAAGATGACGGCTCTGCTCGCTTCACACTTRCAGCCCCGGGTGATCAAGGCGCGGGAGGTTCAGTTGAAGGACGCGTCGGAAGGCAACGACCCTGCTGCTAAGCACAGCCAGAGCAACTTTGCTACTGATGGCGGTGGTGATCAGTGGGGTGAAGTCAATGGAAATTTTGCCCTTGTGGACTTCCCAACAAATAAAAGCACTCTTGGATGTGACGTGTTTTCAGGCGCTGTCGATACCATGCTAAAGGGTGCGAAGGGATGTGGATAAAGAGTAGACTATAAGGGAGACCATGAGCTTGAGGGACGCCAAACGGCACCTCTTCTGTCGGACGTCTATCCGCGGCGCCTGGGATGTGTAAAAATACCATTAGCATGTAACAGCCTGGGTGTGAGATGACATGATTCCAGGTGCTTTGGATAGCATGTTAAATGCTGCGAAGAGTTCACAACGGTATGACACTAGAGGGAGGATGAGTGAAGACCAGTCTGCTTCTAAAGGTGGTGATGGTAAACAGTGGGTCGAGGGCCAGTCTGCTACTGAGGCTGGCAATGGTGACCAGTGATATGAGAACAAGTGGGATGAGGACAACGATGAGGAGAACGGCGAGAGCGACTCTGCCGCGGAGAAGGATGGTGACCAGGTTTCCGACGCGGAGGAGAAATTCGGGGGCACGAACTYCAGATACGCGCTTCACTGGTCAGACTATCGCAGGAACCATTGCGAAATGAACGAGACTAGATCAGCAGTTTGCCGTGCGAAGGAGGTTCCGGAACTGCGAGAAAGAATCATCAACCATGTTCTCGATGGCCATCCATATAGATGGCACTTAGGGCAACAGGTGCGAAGCGTCTGATATGTAGCCAGGTACCACACCTCACCGGAGGGTTATTACCCATCCTACATAGTCCGACATCATGGCGTACACCAGCTTCCTCCCACCCCATCTGCGGAAGAAGGCCATGCCGTGCACTAGTGCTTCCTTGGACACACAGGAACCACACCGCCACCAGCACCAGCACCAGCAGCAGAGCGACGGCTACGAGATTCGCGTTTCCATCTCGGCACCACCCATATGCGGAGAAAGGCCATGCCGTGCACTGGTGCCTTCTTGGACAGCAAGATCCACACCGCCAGCAGCACCAGCAGCAGAGCGACGGCTACGAGATCATCTCGGCACCACCCCATCTGCGGAAGAAGGCCATGCCGTGCACTGGTGCCTTCTTGGACACGCAGGATCCACACCGCCAGCAGCATCAGCAGCAGCAGAGCGACGGCTGCGAGCTTCGTGATGGCAATACCTGCGCCTCCTCTCCGAAGCCAGATCGTGCGACAGCAGGTGCTCCGACTGCCCTGCCACCGCAACCCGCGTCGGCTCCAAGCTATGCTGATCACGCCGATCTCGGCCTTTTACTTACCACAATCATCAGCACTTCCACATCCGCCATCATGGCGTCCACCAGCTTTATGCCACCCCATCTGCAGAGAAAGGCTATGCCGTGCACTAGTGCCTCCGCCTCCTATGCGAAGCCAGCTTGTGCGACAACAGGTGCTCCGACCGCCTCGTAAGTTGAACTTAATGTCCACCTCGATCAATCATTCGCTAATCTCTCGACAGGCAACCCGCGTCGGCCTCAAGCTATGCCGAACTGACTCCACCGGATAGTCCACACACGGAGAGCGAGAAACTGCTTGCAAATCTGCATTTGGCTTCGCTAGAGGATACCTCCGCGACTCTCTACGAGATTGAGGATAAGCCTGAAGACGAGAACGAGGATGAGGATGACAACTATAGCACCGACAATGAGTTCGTGTCTGGCACGGATTCTGACGATGATGATGGTTTCTAAACAGAAGCGAGCGAGGTCGCTCCTCGCAAAGAGGCTCCTGTGATGAATTAGCCGTCGTCAATTCCGAGTGGCATTGATGTCAACCCGCCACGCCGACGCACAATTTCATCATCACCGACGGTCCAGACAGTGGGTGCTTCAAGCATCAATCCAAGATATGGGATGCTTCCTACGGCGAGTCTGCCGCCGCCCGCGAGATCTTTGCAAACATGAACGCAATTGCAATACAGCCGCGGAGTCTGCTTACTGGCATACAAATATTCTTCCTTGTCCTGTTAGCAGCACGAAATTTCATGTGTGGCACGAACGTCGCACAAATGAAGAACGTCTTGGACACTAAGGTAGGTTCACATTGCATTAAGAGCAGCTAGCAACGCGCACATCAGGTGGATAGCTCCGCTGCCTGCTAGAGGAAGGAGTGGTGGAGCAGCTGGTTGTATTACAGCTGTTCTTAATTCATTGAGAACTCTGTACAATACATCCACCTGTACCAGTATCACCACCAATACGAACATCTCGTTTCATCTCTGCTGCATGTTATGGTATCGCATTCCATTACGACKTTGACAATCATCGTACCAGAGAGCCATATGCTCGAGGCCTGGCCGTCCAGCCAGAGATTTTGTCATGTCGATTCGGCGATGAGCGCAATACATCGAGCATCTCACTATCTCATGCAGCCTGAGATACACTGTGCGTTTCTTTCATTCTATCAAGACACCTGAGCTCCTTAGAGTGCTACCAGGGCAAGTCTTGTCATCCTGGCCGTACTCTACATTACCCGGACCGTTGCCGCAACTGCTCTATCTGATCAGCATCAAATACATACACTCGAACTGGACCGTTGGTATGATGACTGTGTTCTTTCATGGTCGTCTCAATATCACTCACTTCCACGCACATGGCAAGGCCGAACGAGGTACATCCTTGGCTTCCACCCTGACCTGTGCTAGGCTGCAGACAGACCACGTGAGTTCATGCATCGCTTGTCTGCTGTACTGGATACAGTCGACAATGGATACTGCCATCTCTATGCTGTGATCGTGGCCCAATGTATCTGGAGACTTGTTCTGGGTCTTGCTACGCTATTCTACTGTGGGTGCGTAACTAGGTTTCCCACTGGTATGGAACCGTTCGGCATCTGGCCCATTGAAAATCGTCAATTTACGCACGTGATCGCAAACCAGACGGCGTATTGAGCGGCGTATTCAGCGGCGTATTGGGCGGCCCTGTTGAACTTTACTTCGGATTCCATGAACCCGCGCGGAGATCACGGAGAGAACGATTGAATATACTACCTTAGTTCTCTGAGCGATGCTTGCGGGGATCGATTGGGTTGGGCGTTTGAGATGGGATGTCACAACATAGAAATTTGCTTCCATCCTTTGGCTCATTATGAGATCATTTCATATTGACTATCCTGCTTGGGCGATATACCGAAGTTTGTGGATGGTTCTGCTAAGACAGTTCAGCATGCTACAATACAATATGCAATTCAAATTTTGAATGTGACAACCCGTCCCTCCTTTCCGTCGGTCATATTCCGCTCGCTTCTAATGCGAGCTTGAGAACATGTCAATGAGACGAAGATGGAGCGAGCTGAAGTAGTCGAATCGCCTTCGTCGTATCCCTCACCCCGGCCATCAAGTCGGAAACCACCATCGTCAGCTCTGACAACGAATTTACAATCACCTCTCCCCATCCGGGAGACAGCAGATGCCGCGAGTCATGTTGAGGTAAGGTAGGCTAGGGACGACTAAATATGTCAGAACGGCTGGAGTTCGAATCCGATGTTGTTAGGGGATGGCCGACTGGAGCAGACACGAGGCTACGAGAAGCCGGCGGTAGCACCTGCTCGATACTGAGACACATGAAAACGGGATGGACTTGACCGTGTACGGTAGAACAGAGCTTTAGTACTGAATATCAAGCAGAGCCATATACAGTGCGATGCTGCAAAGACAATCTTGGTGGTGACATCAGCGACGTCTCTTTCTTCGTCGTATCAATCATGCAACTTCCTGCCCATCGTCTGAAAGCACTGTTACAATACCCAGCCACAAATCTGCGTCCCTCCATCCCGGACGATCCTATGCCATATATCTAGCGCCCGATATTGGAGCTATGGGCGAAATTGCCGAGATCAATCATCTTCAATGTCGCTTGAGAGGTCAATGGCCAAGTCTTTCGATGGTGCACCAGTCTTGGGATCATGGCTTTCTCCGCTGGGCGTGGTAGATGCTGCGAAGGAGCTACCAAAACGTTTGGTGCTGGAGATCGACTCTGTCTCGTGTCTCTTTGACGGCGGCGAATTGTGGGTTGGAGCGCTGCGTGATGGTACAGCGATGGAGCGGGCCATTGAGATTCTTGGGTCTTCGTCTTCGGACACGGGATCCACCATTCCAGGGATAGACTCAAACTTGCGGTCGGCATTTACTTTCATTGCCCATGCCGTGATGAGGGCAGCACGCAGGGCCGAACGCATCACTTGGGACCAATCGTGGACCAGCTGTGTTTCGGTCTTGTCCATCTCGCCATGGACGAATCGGCGGGCGAGGTCTTCGCGCATGTGCACATTGCTGATAGATGGGAGCATGTCTAGAATAGCCTGTGTGCGAAGGTCCAGAGTGGCGATTTCGTTGGCGTCTGCTGCTGCGAGAACGACATCAGAGGCATCGCGATCGAGGTGTCGGACAATGGTGGCAACGGCGACGAGCTTATTGTCTGCCATTGCAGCCGGCGTAGATAACGGAGCGCAGGTGGATGGGCCGATGGACGAAAGGACAGTGATGCCTGGATGCTTTTGGATGATTGCACGTGTCGTGCATGTGTCGTGGGATGAAAGAGGATTGACGGCGAGCGACGGTAAAAGTCATCGTTTCTGCTTGCGTGTTGCTGAGGAAGGCGCGACGCAACGCGACGMACATTGCCGCAATGTGTCGCATACCTTAGTAATTAGTAGGCCAAGGCCACGAGGAGACCAGCCCGAGGAGGGCCGGTGCCGCCTGCTCTGCGGACATACCTAGTGCGTGCAGAGCAGGTGGATTGTTGAAGGCATGAGTGACGGGAGCTGATGGGGATGTAATATGATCCTGTGGTCAGCTGGACCAGGGGAGTCGAAGCCCTTTTCCCTCAGCTCGGCAAAGCAGCCTGAATTAGTCGTCTAAATCGATGGCTTTAACAGTATTTGATAGCTTTGACAGTATTTGATGGCTTTCTAGAGGATTTCATGGCTTTTACCATAAATTGATAGCGTGAATTAAGGCGCATTTCGCACTAACACAGCTGCATCTAATTACAGGCCGCGCCAACGTAACTGCAAGCTAATCGGAAGATCAGCCGTACGACTAATCGGATTGCGTACCATCGTAGCACACCTCTAAAGTACTGGGATTTTCGCTGAGAAAGGGCTTCGCCAGTAACTTAGTACCGTTATCCGCGCTTAGAGGATAAGGTACCTAGTATCCATTGGTGGTTTTTAGTTCCGGTTGTATCTCATAATGCCTGCTGCTTGGCACTCCACTTCACCTGCTCTAATGAAGGCACATTATACAGTATTTCCATTCACGCCTTTGCGTCCCCGCCAGACAGCCCTAACACTAGTCAACATGTCGCCATCTGCCCTCCGCTAAATGGCAGCCCCTTCTACCTGTCCACGAACCAGCTTCCCGTCTAACAACTCGATGACGCCTTCGAACTGTTACCACTACTATGGTTGTTCCACTCGACTGCGGGCGCAGTAGTACCAACGGCAATGAAAGACCAGGGCGGTCTATGGATGGGCGCTCCTGTCGGAAGTGACGATAAATTGGCGAGGAAAGGGCGGAGTGCTCCGCCCAGCTGACCGGTGGAGCAGCCTCTTCGTCGTATGAGGCGCGAGCTGGCGAGGACGACACAGAGTGCCTGAGAGAAGCGGCTCGTGGGACATCACCGCCATAAAAGGAGGAGGACACAGAGTGCCTGATAGAAGCGGCTCGTGGGACATCACCGCCAGAAATAGAGGAGGACACAGATTGCCTGGAAGAAGCGGCTCGTGAGACATCACCACCAGAAATGAAGGAGGACGATCGCCTCCGCCTCCGGCAACCTCACACCCAGCTCAACGCTCGGCACGAACGCTTCATTCATGGGAGCGACAACGCCATTGTTCTTGTCGTGGCAGTTGAGCACCTTGTTCTCATCTTCGCCGAACCAACTGCCTTCATGCGCGCGGAACTTGTTGTTCAAAGGTCGGGATTGGATCCCATACTCAGTAACGATCCCTCCACTGCGGCGCAGCCTCGACCTGCTCCGTGATACCATAGCATAGGGTTGTACGCCTTATGCTGTCGCTGTTGAAGCTTGTTGTTGGYGAGTATCATGTTGCACTTCTCGTGTAGGGTCTCCCTGAATACAGCGAGTCGTCCACTCCCATCCTTTGAGAATCACTCCTACACCTCCCGGGGGTGACGGATATATGCCTTCCCGCGGTTTTCGATGGTCAACTTGTAGATGGTACCAGCTCGGTTAGGTATTTGCGTACAGGCGAGGTTGACATTCAGGATGGCCCGGATACGAACCACACTGCATGTGGCGGCCATGGTTGGGGCGGTTTCCATCGTTCCGAATACTCCCAGCATCTGACTAGCATTTGCGGTCCTCGTCGGGCCCCTGGACCAATGCGATGCCTGGAGCAAGGAGCACTGGTGACTACTGCACGCGGTGATCACACGGATATGAGCAGATGCGAAGCGCGTGAGTAATTTCCACGTGGGACCATGCATCTTCTCGATATCGGCGGATGTAGCTTTCCAGACTTCAGAAGGTAATTTTTTTCAATATTGTTTCAATGTGTTCGCGTTGTTGCTTCGTCACGTGCGCAAAATGAAATCTCACACCTTTGATTCTTGACGGCGACAAACGAACTTCTGAACAACATACACACCGGAACCTTCCTCAGGTCACCGCATACTGTACTCGCGCATACTAATCATTGGCATTGGTCTCTGTCATATTGCATTCGCAACCCTGATGGAGGAAGGCTCTCAAATCAAGCGCGCGGCGGCGGCGACAGAGAGTGGCCACATCGCACCGGAGCCGAAGCGCAAGAGGATCACCCTCGCGGACTACAGCAAGAAAACCCCGCGCGTTGCAAACGAGACTGGGGAGGCGCGGCGAGCAAAAGATGCCGAAATCATAAAAACAGCTGCTGAGACCAACGCGAAACGCGAAGCCGAAGAACGTAACCAGCAGRGATTCGACGACGCCAAACATGAGAGAGAGGAGGATGATCGGAACGTTGCCCAGTCGACACTGTCAAGGTCTGAGCGGATCAAGAAGCACGACGCTGGGCGCGACATACCTGGAAACGTAGAAGCGAGGATCGAACACAAACTGCGAAATATCCTGGAGGGTTGCGGACGATGGGACGGCAAGTCTATGCAGTACAACCACGACTTCTCGAGAGAAATCAAGCGCTGTATGGCGAGCGCGGTGTACTACTCGGCCTTGATGACCATGGGGCTCGATGAAGCAAGTGCTGTCGATCCATCCCCGGCTGCTGTGACTGCGCTCATCATTGGACACGCCGAAGCACACCACAAGAACCCGTCTACCAAGGGAGATAATGGCATGCGACGATTCCTTGCACCCGGATTCCGGGAGATTTGGCTTCCCAGGACAACCAAGCTCAGCGAGGAATGGCTCGTACACCACTACGAGCTACGGGCGCTACATGATCAGCAATCATCGTCCATGTCGGAAGAGCTGCGTGGCATCTTCCACCAACTCCACGAGGTGATTTGCGATGTAGAGTTGCGCTACTTCGAGGAGGTTTCTTTAACTCCTCCTACACTGACTGCCCTGAACGACGCCAGCACTCCCCAGAGTAGACAATTTCCGATTCGGAGAATCCTGGGCCTTTGCTGGCCTCCAAACCTCCAGCTATACCTCCGCTGTATCGACATCGTGTACGACGAGCATCTTCACTTCCGCTTCCGTGTCCCTTCGGAAGGCGAAGATGATCCGCTGCATGGCTTGCTTCGCGGTCCAAAGCGCGAGCCCCACCTCAATAGCTTCTTCACCGAGCTCAGTGGCGGCGACATCGGCAAAAGTGGCACCTTTCCGACTGATGGTCAACATCTTTTTCCACTTGAAAAGTATGAACACAATTCTACTATGGTGGTTAAACACGCCCGTCCGCGCCCAWGTGCAATGTACGTGGACGGTGAGGGGTTCGGCTCGACCGGTGTGCTGGGATACGAGTTCCGCGAGGATAGCTCTCGCGTAGGCTTGGAGGTGTTCAATGACTGCCAATTTCAGGCCGTGTATTTTACCCTCGGGGKAAAGGGCTCTAAACATACGATGCATGTCACTCTAGACGACTTGGAGACATTGGATGTGCGCGTGTTGCCAGCGGCACGCGTTGAGACGGCGAACAAAGCTCACATGCCACCTGAATACCAGTCATTGCAGGACGTGCTGAATCACGACTGGCCTCTTTTGACATTCGGAGAGCCGATACCCGAATCTACTCCGGAGGAAGTGAGAGACAAAGAATTGCGCACCAAGCTTTGGGCGTTTGAGCTTGTCATGACACTGAAGCCAAACCGGCGTATGTCGTTGGATGTGCCGACTGATGAGAGCCAAGCCGAGCTGCAAGGAGAATGGGTCACAGTCCGCAACAAATTGGAGGATGCTCACGAAGTCAGGGTTGTGTGTATCACATATGGCTACGGGGAGAGAGGTCACTACATGTGGTTTCGCGAGAACGTATCTTCTTGCAAGGCCATCACAGGTGGCCATCTGACGAGTCTCTTCGCATACCTCCACAACACTGGCATGACTTCCATTAACGACATGACTGCAAAACYCATACCAGAGCCGAAGGATCGAAATCCACAGTACGCCATCATCCCTCAGTTCTTGCGGCACAAGCCGGGCTCCGACAAGGCCAAGTGCCGTGRGGCAGCTATGATACGTATACCAAAACGCATTTCTATGGAGCAGTATGCGGCAGTGGGTGTGATTGCCAACTCTCGAGCCGCCCAACACAAGGGTTTTCGCCAGAGAGGAATCCAACAGTCCCCGCACTCTGCGAAATTCACATTCGATGGGAAAATGCTTCAGGTGGATATATCGCTTGTTCGCGGTCTTGATGTGGAAGATATGCCTATCGATGGCGAGATAGTTGAGATCGAGTTCGACGCCTATCCACATCTGCAAGAAGTAACACCGCTAGAGAATGGAAATCCGCAAGGCGTGCAAGGCGTGCAAGGCGACAATTTGAGCCGCATACGCAGAGAAAAAGGAGAAAAGGTGAAGACACCGAACAGGGCATATCACTTCAGAGTCAGTATTCATCCGTCAGAGGAACTCACGAGGCTATTCGGACCGCGTGGAGCGTTGAAGGACGGAATATGCCAGATGATATACATCATGGTAGAGCCGACTGTCGACCATGTGCTACGCGACGATATGATGAGCACGGCGATGTTGGTTGATACGGGCCAATGCAAAGGTCGGTTTGATCTCCGCCTGTGGTTGAAGAGGGATATGCGGCATTCATTCCACTCTGTACTGGTGAATCAGGCCGGAGCTGGAATGCAAAGGTTGGCGGCGGAGCTACAAAAAGGTGCGGATATCTCACAGACAGCAGTGCTCAATCGTTTGTGGTGTGGCCTGGTTAATGGCTTTTTATTCGTTCAAGGACCGCCTGGTTCAGGAAAGAGCTTGATTGGAAGCCATGGAGTCCTACTGATCGCCCAACTCAAGAAGGTGCTCGTTCTCGCGAGTACGAACTCGGCTGTGATTGCGCTACTGGAGAAAATGACGAAAGCGTACGTCAAAACGAAGGAGCATGTACCCAACAAGCTGTTGTTTTGTCGAGCGCTCCCCAGGAAGTTTGCAAGGTTGGATGAGATCAACAATGTCTGGACGAAGAAGCCCAAACCGCCAATGATGGACCCAATGTCGCTTGCCGACGTGCTGTTTGGGGATTATACCAGATTGGAAGAAACTGACTTGTGGCTCGACCGGATGGCATGCTCTGTTGCTTTCCAGATGACGGGAGATCCAGACCTGGCGGCCCACGTACAATTTCCACGCGACCAACTGCTTGAGTGCTGCAATGAGTATGTTGAGCGGTGGAATGAATGCAACACCTCCCGGACCAAGGCATCAGAGCATGCCTTTGATATAGCTAATCAAAAGCTATGTGATGTGCTTCTCGCGCAAATGCACGTCGTTTACAGTACGATCGATCATAGCTCGAAGCTGTCCAACTTCGCCCACGACGGCATAGTCGTAGATGAGGCCAGCAATGTCAACTTGTGGAAGGCGGCCAGATTTGGACATCCGGAGTTCCTGATCCTGATCGGCGATATTTTGCAGATCAACCCGATTGATCCTTCCTCCATCGCGAAATTCAACGAGTTCGGGGAGACTATGCAGAAGTCGATTCTCCATTACATGGATTACAAGTCACCTGCTGGTGAGAATGGCGACACATACACCATCGTGTTGGACTGCAATTACAGAAACCCTCCTCGTGTCTGGGACGCACTTCAGTCATTCTACCTACAGGAAACGAATGCATTTATAGAATCAGCAGTCGACGTTGAGGCGCGTCCTTACTTCCAACCAGTGAAAAATCTTTGCATTCGACCTGAGAACCTGGGCCGGCCGTTCATGAGCTTGAGAGCAGAGGATGCATCGGATTCGTCTTTCCTTTGGTTCAATACGGCATGTCATGCCGAGGCCATACCTCGTGCCAAATTCGACGAAGAGATGTTCGGCAAGGTTGACCGGCCGGGAGCCAGACGACCACAATATGCGACTGCGAACGGCTCTGCGGTCTACATTTCAACTCCCCGTCCTGTTATTCGCAATCAAAATGCCACCAATGCGGTGATCTCCGCGGCACATCAATTACTCCGCGGTGGTATTCCAGCAGCGGCCGTCGTCATTCAGGTGCCAGATGCTACGCAACGATCCCAGCTGACGGCTCTCATGCCCCAGTACCCTGAGCTCAAGAAGGTGCGCATATGGACCGGCACTGATGCTCAAGGTCAGGAGGAGGCAATCGTCCTCACATTGATCTCTGCGTGCGCCTGTCGTGGTTCACTTCCCAGCGACAACATCACCACCGTCCTGGCCAGTAGGGCAAACACGTTCCATTTCGTATTCGGAAACTTGGAATGTATCATGCAGGACAGGAAATCAAAATCGACCTTGTTGCAGGAGATCGCCGAAGGAGCATTGGCACAAGGAAAGGTCCGCTCCTGTGCAATCGATGATGAGGCGTTCGGACCATGCCACATACCTGGCCCCACCGCGAAGAAGTCAGTCAAACGCCATAAGGTCACGGGCGGTATGCCCATCAGGAGGATGGCCACGGTTTCTGATGGTCCTCACCTGGACTATGACGACGACGGCGAAGCCGACTATGCGCCCCCGCATGAAGGTGGGAACAAGAGGCGCAGACAGTAATTCATCGGCAGTTTGAACTGGTAAATTTATGTAGATGTATGGAATGACATATCTCAAATGAGGCAATCTGCATATCCCTAGTGTGGATCGTAATCTGTACCATACTGTAATAGGTCGTTGGAGCAAAACCCCCCAGAACTTCAATGTGAATTGAAGAGTGCCGCCTGCTGGACCCTGCTCCATCTCAGTGATGCGTTCACACGGACTTGGAGTTATCGTTGCTCCATTACCCAGTCTTGATCTTCTGGTGGCCAATATGTGCGCAATGGCAGCAATCCTGTGTCAGGCGATGATCTGGGATAGTTCTCCCGCGTGGTAGGTAGTGCAGGAGCCATGGCGATGGTGGGCTCGGCATTGGCCATGGCCTTTTGCATGGTGTAGCCACCAGTAGCCCGAGGTCCTGTAGGACGCTCAGTCTGATCCAAKCCGTGATTGCCTCCGATTCCACCAACGACTTGAGCGACGTTTTGTCTGCGAGCATCTTCAGCGGCGTGCATTTGAGCCTTTTCGTTCGCCCGACGAGCCTGGCCGTCCTTCATGATTTGAAGCAAGATGATGCCACGAGCCTTCTGATCTGCAGGATCGGGTTCAAAATGGAAGGGCAAATAGACGATGGCATGAGCAACGTAGCAAGTGGCCTCGATCGTTTGCGTGCTGGACCATCATCACCTGAGTGCAGGTCAATGAGGTTCTTTTCAGCTTCCATGGGTTTGTAGCCGCCCATTTGAGCTTCGTCTTGCTGATCCATCAGCGAAACACCGCCAAAATCTTGGTCTAGCATCTCGCCGCCATCGGTAATGCTTCCTGGAATTGAGACTCTATACTTGCCGCTGAGCAATCTGGGAGGATGGAAAGCCCTGTCGGGGGCCGCCATGATCTGATCAACGATATGCTTGTGCTGCAGATGATCGTGGAAGGTGCGGGCAGAGTAGACATGACATTGGCCTTTCTCGAAGTGCTGAACTCGCCGCTGAGCAATCTGGGAGGATGGAAAGCCCTGTCGGGGGCCGCCATGATCTGATCAACGACGTGCTTGTGCTGCAGATGATCGTGGAAGGTGCGGGCAGAGTAGACATGACATTGGCCTTTCTCGAAGTGCTGATCGATCGTTTGCGTGCTGGACCATCATCACCTGAGTGCTGAACTCGCCGCCGCACATGATGGTTTCGGCTACTGCGGTTACTTTGTACGTATACGATCTTGATTTTCTACCAGGGTTGGAAGTTGGAATGGCTCTGCTGCCCAGTGATGACTTGCTATATTCACCGTTAGGTGTGATTGTAAAGGTTGATATAATGGTAGATGAAGTGTGGTCAGTCGATTGAAATGTCGATGGTAAGATGATGATGCTTATGCCGACCGAGCATAAGATTATATCCGTTTGAATTGTTTGTCTCGCAAACCTTTCGACAAATATGGGGCCTTCCAGTATGGCGAGGACCTGGCGCTCTCTCAGGAGTAATAAAGAATAAGAGAGTGGTAGTATGGCCCAAACATAGCTGGAAGTTTCCCTCAGTATACCTACAGTCAAGGTGACGACTGTACATAGATCTGCTTCAATTGCCTGTTCCGCCTTGGCTTTAACGAAGGAAATCGAAGACGCTAAAATCGGAAGTTCTGGGACGTGCTGGTGGCTCTCTAGTCATGAGTACTCTGGAGGATCAAAAAGTGGATGACTGCGGTTTTCGGGTGGAAAGTAGATCCGTTCCAATATGCCACTTGGGTATGTGTATATTCTGCGGGTAGCTGCCCCATCCCAGGCGTTTGCTGGGCGCGGAAATTCTCCCCCTTTCCCATTTGTCGTCGAAACCTGAAAAGAGACTGGGAGAAGTGAAAGCATCTTACTATGAGACATAGTGCAGATAGTCTGATAGCGTTGGTGTACATGCAAGGATCTGCTATTTGGATGGCTGATGATTCATATCTTCCACTTCTCCCGCACTTTTATGCAAAAAGTGCTCCTTCGCCTTCGAGGTCTCCGTTCCAAGTTGCGGGTCATCTCGAGAACATAGCACATTCCGATACTGCGACCAGGGTGACAGGCCGGGAATACTAGATATATCAGCATAGTGGGTTTGATTCAGGAATGTGCCAAGGTATTTGGGGAAAGTTCGACATTCCCGTTCAGCCACAGCCAACTAATAATGGCTTTACTCGTTTCGAAGAAGATCCAATCACAATGGACACTGAAGATTGAGCAACTAGATGAAGGAAAGATTAATGAAAGTTTGATACTTGGTTCTGCTTAGGCGAGGAAACGGAGCAAGCGCTGTCTTCGCCAAGTTTTCGAGGTAGTAGTACTATGAGTTAAATAGCCCGGTTCTAGGTCGGTGGAGGTAGAGCTAAGATTCGTGCTTTTAGCAGTAGTAAGGGAGGACTACTAGGGGAACATCGACTATTCTTCATGATGTCTATAGAATTCTACTAGCTACTTTGTGATAGACTCCCAGATTTAGATCTTCTAGCTAGCCATGGGTAGGTAATAAGCGATAGTATTCCGAGCCATAGAAGAGCGTATCTTCACCTCGATCCCTAATGTTCAGTCAAGTTTCAGTCAAGATGCGGGCCCCTGAAAGATGTCAAGYAAAGGGGTCAGGAAGCGCTTCGTCATACACGAGAGATATTCTCTAGCATACATAGGTTGAAGCGTTAGACTCAGAGGAGGTCATTGCAGTTTATCGGGCAGTAAGACGTGTGCCTTTTCTCATTAAGGAGACTAAGGGAAGGTCGGAGCCCTGAGTCAAATTCGCTGGATAACATATAGGGCTTTTTGGTAGTATACTTGCTTGCGTCTTCAAAATACGCTGCCTTTATAACACATGTCGCATGCTGCTTGGCAGCGGCTATACTCCTCCTCGTGCGCGAGGTGGGATCAACGGTGGCGTCCTCATGGAGGCTTGAATTATCTCATGCGTCGATGAACCCTGACACACTCCGCTTGACGTCCTCGAAAACCATGGTTAGAAGAAGTGGTCCCTCCTCACTCGAGCGTGCCTTGACATCGTCAAGTGTGGGCGTAAGAATGGTGGGTTGTGAATCTACACCATACTTGGTCGTATTCCATGTGATATCAAGCTTGACTTCTCCGCCCACCTTCACCCGCCTGTTGCCCCATGACGGCCATCGGAATAGAGGACGCTGCTGTGAGCGAATGTCCGGATGCATGTTTTCCATCGTAATCGACTTCGAATACGTCGATCAAGCCTGTATGGGTGCGCATATCATGTCATGGAAGTTCGGGAAACAGTCGGTATGGGTAGCTACTCGGTCCCCAGAAGCTTGGCAATGTTATCATCGATCCCATCAGCAAGATATCACGCTATTAATTTGACAAAAGTGGCGGCATCTTGGTGTACCGGATAATTAGCATCCTGGATTTGGAGTTGAGTGATCACTTTCCGCACGAGGAGAGGATCGATATCAAAAGCACATGTAGTTCACCTGTTAATCATCAGTCTGTATACTAGCAGTCGTGGACCAGTTACTTCTGAGATTTGAGTAGAACAAAACTGACTGCGGGATCAGTCTCTACCATGATCCCACCCGCCAACAATGAAAGCGAATCTAGACAGTCACCGAACGCTGTCTAGATATATGCCGCTCAACGAGCGTGGTGGTTCAAGCGGAACACTGCTCACCCACCGCTGTGGTATCATTCAAGCTTACACATTGATCCAAGACTGTTACTTGGTTTTCAGCTCTGTACGGCTCATCCTCGCCGTCCCCGATTCTCGTCGTCCGTTGACCTCGCACTACCGAGAGGTGCCACCACATACTTCCTACCAACGCAGGCTTTTGGGGTACTTCATGCCGTATTGGTTATTCCCGAACGGGTGGTATGTACCTCTCGATCCGAATCGAGACATGCGAGTAAATGCGCTCTGGAACTCCAGCACGACAAGCTGTGGCATATGTCGAGCAAACGTCAGTCGATGTACACCTAGACAGCCAATGATGTCGAKGCTGCAAGGATTGGTACGCTGCTACTCCTATTCGCTAAAAAGCTCACCATTTGTCGAGATGAAACCCTCTTGCCTCCAGAGCTCTCGGGTCGTTTCATTTGGCGTGGAAGACTGGAATGTATGATCGATGTGCTGTATCATGACCAATGACCTCCACGATCCTGCGGCTGAGGTTTTGAGCCGGAATGTCTTCGTTGTCTCTTAAGCTGGAATCGACATGGGCCTGGCGTTCCTGAGTCATTGGTGGGCCTTACAACCCAACTGCTCTCGATGACATATAGATATTGTGTATGTACATTGTGTCCCCAGTGTCTCGGATTGGTCCTGGGAGGTTGAGGCGAGATGCATTCGTGAGATCCCTGATTCTGTGATGACCTTCGGTCTCTCCTTCATATCCACGTCGATTACGATGAAGATTGGTGATGGCAGAATCAATGGAGATACTAGTGAAGTCCAGCAGCAGCAATGTTAGCGTGCGCAGCGGTGGCAGTTGCTGGTCAAGATGCGGACTGTCAGCTCGACGCCGTGTTATGTAGCTCCGTGTGCGCTTCGGCACGTAGACAGCATGCTTGATCAGATCTACCCAGCTCTCTCTGAGTTCCTTGATACCCGCCATCATCTCGTAAACTCTGAGGCAACAATTCGATCCAAAAAGTGATGCGGCCTATGCAAGCGTTGTGGTTGTTTTAGCTCAAGTAGGGATGCATGGAGAACTCCCACATTGGGCCAGCTTTTCGCTTTACACCTAGCAAACATCCGAGCGAATGGCGACGTCGACGGCCGTATCTTGAAGATATACAGTCAGTCAGGATCATCATTAGTTCTCAAGATTGTTCAATAACGATTATGTTTGAGGCGAGGCAATCCTCGAGGATCAACATGATGATCAGGGCTTGACCTATCAGGATTAGGGTTAGGGCTAGGGTAAGGTAGTATTGGGTCTCGTCAAGACAGCGCTGTATCCGTTATATCGGGCATATGAGCCCTTCAACTTGTAGATGAACAACATGCTGATCGTGTTCCAAGGTAGAGTGGCATTGATGGCATGGCTGCTGACATCTGGGAAACATGGGGAAGAGAAAGAGTCGTGACCTGAGATATTCAGCACGAAACGGCCCCTACTCCGTTCGCAACACTTTTAATACGACCAGACCGGCTGAGTTGCACAGATATCGCTCGATGTGACATTGCCGTTACCAAGTCAAGTCCTCGCTCTATCGCATTTCGTTTTGACGTCTATGTCTACCAACCAYGGAATGGCTGGGATGTGTGCCCATTACAAATCTCAGACTCTCCGCAGAACCTGTCGCTTTTGTGGTCCGATCTGAGCAATCATTTGGCGTGTTCATTTGTTTGATCCGCGGAGACTCCACAACCTTCACTTTCCTACGCTGCGCAGGGGAAAACCGCACACACACACACACACGGCTGCATGCTGCTGTCATGACGGGGCGAATCGAGCTTGACCGCCGCGCACAATCTGAGCATCATCGAAGGTCCACACAGTCGGTGCTTCGGGGCGCACTTCATCAATTGCAACTTCTACGGACCTGTCACCTTTTACGACTGTATCATCAGTAACACGACCTTTACTAACTGCACGTTTGTTGGCTCGTGCAGATTCGACACTGTGGTCTTCAGAGATGTGCGGGCGATCGATTGCGTATCCATCAACACCTGGCACTTGAAGCGCACTTTTATGGCCGGAGAGCAGATCAACAAGGTCAACGTTAATCGATCGAGTTATCGATAATCAGCGTCCACTACCTCCGGATATGCATGAAAGAAGAACAAATGCGAGGAAACGACAAGAGATTATGCGTGTGCCGCCTTCTCGCACGCCGATTTGTCATGTCTAGTCCTCAACGATTCAGCTTTGATCAGTGACCGTCGCGGAAGTGCTGAAGTGATCGATGGCATGTCAATGGCGGAAGAGAAGAGCAAGGAAGGAAAATGCAACGACAGGACGGAAAACTGGAACACTGGAAAACTCTCGCCTGGTCTCAGAACCTTGGATTACCGCACGTTCCCCTAACGGTCGAAACGCTTGGCTCAGGAAGACGAGCTTCGTGCGAAGGGGTTTTTTCTTCGTACGCTGTGGTCATGACGAGGTAATTGGTGCGCAGAATGATGGGTTTGCCTTTGGTACCGTAGCCACGCCGACCTGGAAAGTTTTCGAACATCTGATCACGAGTCTGTTTGACCAGTTCGTCTTCCGCTGCAGTTATCTTGGCGTCCGGTGGAGGTATTGGCTCTCCAGCGAGGTAAATACCGCCTTGTGCTGGTGGTCCTCCACCACTACCGCCACGTCCCCCTCCTCCACCGCCACGCCCGCCACGTGGTGGACCTCCGCGGAAGGACATCTGTTGTTGACCTCCATGGCCTCCACCGCCTTGATAGCCTCCACCTCTACCGCCGCCTCTATCTCCACCGCCTTGAGAGCCTCCACCTCTACCGTAGAGGCTCGTAAAGGGTCCAGGTATATAGGGTAGGTACGGTATGTACAGGTAGGTACGGTATATACAGGTAGGTATGTTCTTACATATACGGAAGGAATCACGGAATTACACGGAAAGAAGAAGCGTCTGAATGGAGGCAGCTGCAGATATCAGATGTTGCTGACGAGGCGAGCTTTTTTTGTAACGGCTCTCGGCAGTATGTAGGATGAATCTACTAACAGGGAGGTCAATGTTACTTGCAAAGACAGGCCTTGTGTCGAGAGAGCACTTTCGAGACAAGTGCGGCGAAATATGAGACTCTCGATTTTGTTAAAGGATCCTCCCTGATATTCACAGCTCCGACGGTACTCAAACTCTCACGCTCTCCGCGAGATGGATCCACCAAATTCAAGACTTGTCGCCAGAAGTCAGCAGAGAACCCTTCGGTACATTGTCTCGGTCAACGGATTTGGGCGCTCAGGAGAATCAATCTCAAAGCCACCACTATKAGCATCGTACTTCCACGAAGAGCTCTAAACGCTGCATAGGCGTGGTCTATTCGATTGTATTGCCAGTGCTCTATCTATACTTGATCCGTGTATGCATCAAAGGTAACGGGCTGGAGACAGCACCTTGTCTCCCCTGATCTCCAAGGCTCGTGGGGCYGTATTCTTGACTCGATGAGTACAACAACGTACCACAAAAGCAAGTGACCTGGGATATGCGACAAGAGCTAGACTCTATTAACGGACTGCTTGCAGGGTGGATGATGAGCACTTGTTCTACGGTCGTCAATCCTCCTCGTTACGAAGCGGCCCGCTGCAAAGAAGCATGACCGCGAATCAGTCGGGACGGATGGACGATCTCATGTTGGTCACAAACCGATCACCTGAGAAGGTGAATGGAAACGAAGAAACATAAACGCTTTCGGACACGAGCTGCTTGTCGTCATCGTTGCTGCCCTCCTCTATATGGGCATTGGAGTGGCCGGTTGGAACCCTGGCTCACGCTCTTCCTCCGCCGGTGAACTTGCTTGAGCCAGCGTCGCCGCGGGGGGTTGAACTCGGCAGTAACAATGTGCACTATGGAAGTAATACCGGTGACCATACGTCGAAAGTGAAGTATCTATACCAGCAGCTTGCTCTTGGCAGTAAGGAGTGAAGGGCTACAAGCATGGAAGTGTTGAATCGATATACCACTTCCTCAGCCTTCCCGCTACGTCTTCTCATTGCTCAAGCGCTTATCCTCGTCCATACAAAGTTGGTAGTGAAGGGCGCAAACCACAACACACAACAACAACTAAGGAAGTCATGCATTGCGTATGTGCTTGGACGGAGGAACGATTTGCTGTACCTCGCCGAGTGGATGGGCAGGACTATAGGCTCTCGATATAGTCCTTGCTTGAGAAGGCGATCGATCAACGTGGACACTTGAGAGTGGCGTGAAAATGAGTGAAGAAGATTCGATAGTAGATGTAAAGTTCAAACAGAAGCTGCTTTTTGTAGGCCCTGTGTCCATGCCAAGCCACTCCGCGGAGGTGGTGAGTGCCCAAGCCATCACTAGTATGTCTTCTATTTGCATGCCTGTTCCACCTTTAGATGAGCCGTCTTGTCGCAGCCCTCGCGTACCTTCCAGCCGCGCAGCTTCCAACTTCTCCGACAAGGGATTAGACAGATCAATGAGTCGGGACCGAACCTCTGTTGTCGCTTCCACCAAGCATCGCGATCCGGAGCATTGCGTAAGTTCGACGCGGAAGGAGCCTGACGGATTGTCAGGATGAACTGCATGCCCTTCTGTGGATGGAAGAGCACTCTGTCAAGACCCACATCGGGATAGACATTTGTTCGGGCGCCCGCGATTTCTGCTACTCTGTGGGTAGATGATGAGGACGCTGTTGGCTTGGGAGTGGCTTCGATATTTCTGTCGCTTTGCAGGGGCATGGTACAGAGGTGGAGCTGGGTAACGCTGTTCAGCAGGTGACTCTGCTGGCCTCCGCGGAAAGGCTCGGGCGAGAAGTGGCAGCAGTGATGCCGGTCATGTGCACACCACCGGCGCTGCCGCCGCCCTTCCGATATGGGTAGGTGCTGTTGCTGATTGACAGACCTGAGATGCTGCCAGTCGCGTTATTGATGTGGTAATCCTACAGCAAATTAAAAAACGTTGTGAATAACAGCATAGACTTGTTAGCATACCTCGTAGTCATCCCTCGTAGTCATCTGAGTCGCTGCTGTTGAGTCACGTCCACACCACCGGTACTGCTAGCCCCCGTCTGAGAAGGGTAGGTACTGTTGCTGATTGACAGACTTGAGATGCTGCCAGTCGCGTTGTTGACAGACCTGAAATGCTGGCAGTCGCGTTGTTGATGTGGTAGTCCTGCAGCATATTAGCAAACGTCGTGGTAGACAGGTATACTTGTTGGCATACCTCAAGATCATCTGAGTCGCTGCCAGATTCACCTGGAGCAGCAACATCGTATCCATCCTCGTCGTCGTCGCGACCAACCTCGTGAGGCTCCGTGTTGACGCGCCTCGTTACACACTCGATGCACTTCGCATCATCTGGCTTCTTCCGCTGAGTCTTGTAGAACTTGTCAAGACCCATCTACCGCTCGCAATCGAAACAGCGGAGTTCGACGACCTGCTAGCTCGTACAGCCCGTGCATGAGATAAGGGGCATTTTGGCCGCGTCGAAGCGCGAAGTGTCGCGGAACTTCTTGATAAGGATGTCAAGTTGTGTTGCGGAGTACGAGTCCGAGCCCTTGACGCGAGCGCGAGCGCGGAATGTCGCGCGACTTCTTGATGAGGATGTCAAGTTGTTTTGCGGAGTATGAGTCCGAGCCCTTGACGCGAGCGTGAGCGCGAAGTGTCGCGCAACTTCTTGATGAGGATGTCAAGCTGCTTTGCGGAGTAGGAGTCTGAACCCTTTACGCGAGCGCATTTTCCGTTGCATTTGATGTGCGTTGGGAGACTGTTGTTGCTACGACCTGCTTTGTCATAGTCAGTGTCGTAGTGAGGGGACAGCGTAGTGGCGGGTTGGTGAGGGGGATGATAAACGTGGGCAGACAAAGATTGATCGTGGACTGACCGACGTGTTCTGACCGCCGCCTTCTTTGGCTTTGTGTATATATCCCGGATTGTTTCTTGGAGATATATTCGTTTTCGACTGCTTCTTGGAGATATATTCGTTGGTGACTGCTTCTTGGAGATATACTTGTTGTTGACTGCTGGACATCTCGGCGTGGGACAGTGCGACTTATATATATTTGCAGTGGGCTTCTTCTTGTAAGACCCTCTTTGTTCTGACATTCCAAGGTACAATCAGGGGGAGCGGGTGTGGCAAATAAACTTTGAATTTCTACTCCAAGCTTTTCCTTTCTAGTGAATCGACCATGTTCGCCTCAGCTGTGCGAGCATGTTCTTCTCAATTGTGCCGGAGAACATTGCGAGCATGGTTTGCTCACTTTTGCATGAAATCATTGCGAGCAGGTTCTTCTCGATTGTGTGGGAGACCACTACGAGCATAGGTTGCTCTCTTTTGCGAGAGACCATTGCATGCAGTAGGTTCAGCAGGTGCCACAGAATCAAAGCGTACCCTTTCGTGATTGTGCTGCCCTTCATGGACGGTGAGGTCCATAGACTGGTTTGCCGTCGATCGTTCCGATGCCTCCGCTCCCGCTAGAGATGGGTTTCAACTTGACAGCAGACTGTGCATTCGTGTGAGTAGTCCCCGCCGTGCCGACAGTAACAAGACCAGCTGTGACTTTACACTTGTTTATGTCAACTGGACTGGTGATGATGCTGTCAAGTTGTTCCAGCATGTGCTTCTGATCCGTAGTGGCACGCTCGTGGTCAAGAACGACCGTGTACGCTGGCTTTGTCAAGTCGAATTGCTCCCCGCTCAAGTCAACGTTACCAGCCTTGAAGCGGTGCTGCAAGTTCCCAGTGACTTTGGAGATCTCCACTATAATGCGACTCTTAAGGATACCAGTTRTCTGTCCAGGTCTCGTGCGACTGACATAGACAAAGTCGAGGCTTGGGATGTAAGCCTTGATGATCTGCACAAACCGCAAAGCCTCTCCAATCGAGAACRGTTGATCATCTGTCGGCTCTACGGATGTGTGCAGCGAGCCCAATCTGTCRTACCAGCGCAGGTGGATGGAGTTTGAGAGCGAGATTGCGTTGAAGGACACGCGTGAAAGCTTTTCGAAGTACCCCAGCAATGGCATAATGTTCTGCGCGTCGTTAGGTGACATGAAACGAGCATCGCGTGGAAATACATACCACGAAGTGAGTCTTTTGGGCATACCCGTAATAAAGCTTACGAAGGGTGCCTTGCTTGGTGTCGTGTATTTTCTTGAGATCTGCTAGCCCGATTGACGCAGTGGGGGATGCTGCAGTATGATCAAGCTCGACGATGGAAGTAGCACGGCTTATGGCAGCAATCAAGGCATCTGTTGCAACTTGCGTTTCGGATCCTCCATGCATTGCCGTGGTGTACACAATCCGCTGTACCTTGTCGAAGCAGTCCGCGAGGCACTCGAAGCCGGGCATGAGGCCCAATACGCGGAGATGTCGCAGATATCCAGACGGCCGACGTGTGTTGGAACGCGCATGGTCTGCGAGGTGGTGTGCAAATGGGGCCCAAGCCTTGGCTGGAACAGCGGGTGAAGTTCCCACGTGAAAGCTCTTCAACTTTGCTGGGTACGAGAGCAGCTCGACTATCTCCCAGGCCAGCTTGCCCCAACTGTGATCATCAACTGCAGCGACTTCTCCTTCTCCGAGGTAGGAGAGGTCGAGCTCGATGTTACTGTGCACACGAGTTTAGCGTCGTACAGTCGGGAGGGTGGTAGGACGCCGAACATACTTTACGATATTGAACTGGTGGGCAGGCTTTCCGATAAGTCTCGTGAGCGTCTTCTTGAGATCCTCGATTGATGCTCCCTCGATGAAGAAGGTTTCGGCGGCAATGACATCCTCGTGCTTGATGCCGTCGATTGTGACCTTCATGGWAATCTGCGCGCCGAACTTGAAGAAGTCTGGATCACTGGAGACGACATTTCCACCAGCGTCGACGGTTGTGTTGCGCGACTGAAACGCCATTATGCAGTTTGACTGAGGAGAGAAGACTTGCAGTTGGCACATAGAAGTGTTTTTGTCGCGAACAGCGCTAGTGAAATGGCGCTAGCAAGATCACCCGCGTTTCCCATATCTTGTCCGTCAAACACGGAACACCTACACAAAGTGGCGTTTTTTTCTCCACTCCACCTCAGCGCTACCATGCCAGACAGCGATGAGCACACCACGCGTGAGGTTATCCACCCAGCCTTGCCCGACATCACTTCCAAGAAAACCAACAGGAACATCTCTGGGGCTGCGAGCACCACCTGGCCAGTCGACACGATACCATGGCAAGTGATCGAGGCCGTGCATAGCAGTATTGGCTATCGGGCTCGCACGGGTGAGGTTACCATCGTCAATGCCGCCATGACCGCCGGCCACCCTTCCCTCCACATCCTCGCGCCGCATGCCACAGGAACCACGACCGCATCGCATGTMATTATCGCATGCAAGACCTTCCTCTCGGTGCCCCCATCCACAAATCCCAACTCGCGCCCTCCTGGCTCCATCTACGTATCGGACACAAGACAGTCGGTCCAGCAGGCGTACACCAGCGTCAAGGCGATTTTCGGGCACATCGACAAGAACCTGACGTTGGCCCTCTGGCAGGGAGTGAGCCGGAGGAAGGACGAAAAGGAGTTTCAAGATCCTCTGTCGGGTGACGCAATCTTCGCCACTACCGGAAAAATCAAGCAGAAGACGCAGCGCGGCCAGATCGACGTCAGCAGACTCCATACTGTCATCTTCGACAACTCTAGTAATCTGTTTGGTTCTACGTTTGCCGAGCAGATGGAGACTGGCATATTCACGGCCATTCGGAAGGCTAGATTGATGGGGAACAACGTCCAGGTGATTGTGAACTCCAGCCCGCAGCCGCCAGCTTTTGACTTTCGTCGCATGCTGGAATCGATCACAGCGAACACATACATGACTCTGCACGTGACATCTGGAGGTCCAGGTACAGGAGCTGCGGCCATGATCTCTAGCGATTTGAAGTTTGTCGAGTTGCCACGAGGCGAGAATCTGCTTGAGTTTGGCCTCAAGTTGGTTTCGGTTTTTTTGCGGGAGTACCAGACCACCCGCCGCCTGCTCCTCATGCTAGACACGCAAGTCRGAACGCAAAACATGTTCTGGAAGATTCGCGAGGATTGTCCCGGCATGACCGACCAGCAATTTAGTGATCGTATTGGGATGTACCACGGTGGTTTTGAGCAGCCAGGATCACTCTTCCGCGGCACTGCTGGCCTCGATGATTTCAACGACCCATACTCCCACATGCTGGTCCTCGTCACCAGTCCTCTCACATCCAGCATTATTGTGCGCGGCGCCACCGACGTTCTGATCCTCAAGACTGCCGACGACATCCTCGATGACGCCGCCGCTAGATGGTTGAGCGCCTGCAGCCGTATTGGTCGTAACGGTGAAACGGGGCGCGTTACAACGGTTCTCTCGGGTGTTCACGACATGGCGATGGCCCGCGATATCAAGGCACTCCTCGAAGAGATTGGAATGCCCGTACCAGGGACTCTGACTAGTGTACTTGAGATGGGTGAGTAATAGGTTGTCTGCAGCTCGACAAACCGGCACGCGGGTTGGAATGCGAAGACTCCATTTTGTTGGACATTGCGGATAACGTGGAGTAGTGTACTAGATCCGGCCATTCCAAAGGGGGAAAGATGGGAGGTCGAGCGCCAAGTCTACATAGCCAATCAAACCCATTGTGCCAAAACCTTCGCACACCTACTGAGCACGTGGTAAATCTGACTTCACTGTCCGTTGCGCGCGCCTTCAATCAACTTCACACTTTCAATCCCAACACATGTGGTCGGGCAAGGTACTCTGCAGAAACCACGGGTTGATACCCGCCGACAGTGATGCTGAGTCGAAGGGWGTGATTGTGATGGTGCCAGGGCTAAGACGCCACACGAAGGTGCGAGGAAAGACCGCCGCCACGACATCCTTCTGAGTTGGAGATGAAGGATCTTGACCACCGTCGATGTTTGCATTTCAGAGCCGTTGCAACTAGCCCAGTCCACCATTTCGACTGGGTCCCATCAGGTGGGGTTACCAAGTCTCTTCTCTGGTAACATGCTCGACCGACGGAAGACCTTTAAATTCATATTTATACGAAGTCAGACACTGTCGAGCAAGATCAATGATCAGTACCAGAGCAGCATAGTCACCACCGCCCGTGATATGGGAGCAAAGGGAATAAAACCGAGGATACCACGGCCATGTCAAGGGATAGTGATAGAGCCATGAATTGGATGGGCACCGCAAAGCTCGCCGGGCCGAGAACAATGCTTTCGCTGGATGCATCGTATCTGACAGCGAACTCCAGCATCAATGAGCTGACTAGGATGTTCGAATGTTAGAGGTTCGAGAACTTCTTAATTTTGTCGCTACTGGAAAGTTCCTCAAGCAAAATCAACGTGAACATTCTTACATATTCTGACGTGGAAAACTATCAGAAATACCATTATATGGACTACGGATCTCGCCAGATGGAATGAACAAGCTACAAAGTTCAATTATACGCGGTTTCGACAGACCCCCTTCGCAAAATCCAAGGAACGGCGCTAGAAAACGAGTGAATCTCAATCTTTTATTCCATTGTGCGTCAAGGTCTCTAACGCAACACAGGTCCGCGGCCAACATTGCTGTGTCTATCCTAAGCTATACAGAACCAACACTAGTACCCCGACAATAGAGGGCGCAACAGCTCATCCTCAGCGACAAATCGCCGTCCGGCAAGGTCACTTACTCTGGGTGCTCATCCTCCTGCAACAGCCATCCTCCCGCGACACCCATCCTCCCGCGACGCTCATCCTCCCGCGACACATCATTTTTCGGCAAGATTACTCACTCTGAGCGCTTATCTGTCGGCGCCCAGTGCTGCTAACTACTATAAATCTCCATCCTCTTTCCGCTATACACCTCCTCCCTTACATCAACTTCTCTCCTTCACAATGGCAGGCGCTGCAAGAAGCGTATCGCTG